ACACAAAAGCACACAGAGACAAGAGAAGCACAACAGATACTCTTTTATTGTCCGTTCAAAGGTTTGTTGCTAACAATTCAATAATTACAAAGATTTCAACCTGTGATTTTTTTTAAAGAGAAAAAAGCAGTAGTGTTTCAAAAAAAAAAAAAAATCAAAAAAAAAAAAAATAGTCCCATCTTCAGAGAACTGAACAGGGACGAATAAAAGGAACGAGAAAGATCACTGACACAAAATCAAAGACGATATTCCTTGGACTAAAACATGTGCAAGTTTAATACAGTGTTTCTGAAAACCCCCCCCTCTGGCCGGTAGCCTGCAGGTTTAAAATCACTTCTGGAATTGATCTGAATGTGGTGCTGTAAAACAAAATGGCACTGAAGGCACACTAGAGTGATTACACTGGATATGCCACATGCCTGTACTGTATCTCACACTTCTGTACAATGAAACATCCCACACTGGAGGAAAAACTATTCAGACGCCCCACTGTGGCGGTACGGCGCTATGACTGTACACCACCGCTAATGCTTCTCACTCTTTCATGATTGAACGGTTTAAAATGCGAGGGCCTTGGCAATGGGGGGGGGGTTCTCTCTCTATGGTGAGCAGGTCTTCACACGCATACCTATTTATTTATTTATTTATTTATTTAAACATAGCACACGAAAGCAGCAGCAGCTTGTGAAGGACTCTTATTAATAATCCTATGAGTAATGTGATCCTTTTCCGCTATGTTCAGATTCCCACCACTTATCAACTTAAAACCGCATATCGAGAAATTAAAGACTCATGATTCTGTTTTTATTTATTTTTTCCATTTCTGGTTGCTATGGCGCCAACTATACGTTTTCTGGCAAAAGATCGAAGTTAAAAACAATACATGTGACAAAGGCTGACTGGAGATGTAAATGCTGTAAAAGATGCCCACTAATTTAGCTTTACAGTAAAACTCCTGCAGTCAGTTGAGTGGCAGCTCGTCCCCTGGGAAGATACTGCTCTCAAAATGGTGGCCACTGGTCCGGGAACAGCTCAATAGGATTACAACGCCAGTATGGAAAGGGCTGGGAAGTAGGCGGGGTTATGAACCTTGAAAGTCAGCCATTTCTTTCACCGTTGTGTCCCCCCAAGTCGAGCTCAACACGTCCGTGCAAAATACTACACGCTTTAAAAAAAACAACAAAAAGTTATTTCCCTCTCCTCTTAGTTTTTTTTCCTCACTTTTTTTTTTTTTTTTACAAACTTATACCTATGATTAGGATAGCTTTTTCTGTGAGTGCCCCATCATCAGTAATCTTTGTTTTAAATTCAGCCCATCACACCTCTATGTATTGATAACTTCAACTAAGTAATTATAACCTTAACTCATAGGAAACATTTATGGCCTGAAATGAAGAAAAACAAAAACAAATCAATACTGGCTGATTCTTTCTTTTTTTTTTTACCGTTAACTAAAAATACCAAGTGCCCCTCAGGAGGGGGGCGGCAGTCACTTTTTTTGGAGGATCTATGCTCGTCACACGCAGGAAAAGCTTCAGCGGTGGCAGTTTGTCCACAAAGTCTGTTCTTGGCACTTTGCAGCGATACACAAGTTCTATGTCGAATGTAGGTGTCGCGTGATTAAGCACGCAGTATGTGTGTGTAAGGTGTGCGTGTCTCCGGTGGGGGGGTCCTCAGCCGTCCAGGGTATGCTCCAGGCCATCCAGTGTTAGCTGGCTACGGTGGGGGGAGTTGGGGCTGGGGGGGCTGCTGGGGTTGGAGCTGTTGGAGAGGGTGGAGTGCTTGGTGGAGTCTGAGTCCGGCTGAGGGAATATAGAGAGTGTGTTTATGTTAAAGATGCATTATAGGAGTTCAGTTGCTAATTGTTTGGCTCAACTGTTGGCTGGATGGTTCATATACATAAGATAAAATATTACATCTTAGCTTTTATCATGAAACAACACAGGATCCTTAGTTTTAGGCAGACAATAAATGCGTTTGCACATCAGTGGCGAGAGGTGTATCCCTTTCTATCAAAAAAATTTTGACAATATTTCTGTCCATTTAGGGGACCCCTTTTGGCTAAAGAGCACCCCCAGAGGTAAAAGTATTATTAATATTAATGATTATTGTCTGCTTTGGCAATGTAAGATAACTTATCATACCCAGGAAGATAGTTGAATTAAATTGTATTGAGAGAGCGATAGAGGAGGAGAGGACAGGGAAAAGAGATTGAGTAAAGTGTGAGTGATTTAATGTGTGTGTACAGTAAGGCCGGGACGATTCTACTATCGCGATACTCGTTAGTATTGTAGCAAGAACACAAAGCGGATTTAACTCCTTTAGGAAAACAGCCCTAATGTTGGAAACAAACATCATTATGTTGTCATCCAGAGTCACATGTTTTTATTTTCCAAGCTATAGCACACAATATTTTACATACAGCAGGATCTTAAAGGACCAAAGAGTTTGGTCTGCTTTCAATAATGGTATCGTCACAACCCTAACAGTCAGAGTGTGTGTGTACAGTCAGTGTGTGTGTCAGGGTTTCCGTACGCCGGTAAATGACGGCTTTTGGGCGATAAAATAATTTAAAAGCAGATAAATAAAATTGGAGCCGATTTCGCGCTTCAACAACATTCTCTCACTACTTGTGCGCTGCGTTAAGTGCATGTGCCTGCTGCTGACGAGAGGAGCCTTGGCCTGGGCTACTGTTGACTGCTGCTGAGGAGAGGAGCCTTGTCCTGGGCTACTGTTGACTGCTGCTGACGAGAGGAGCCTTGGCCTGGGCTACTGTTGACTGCTGCTGACGAGAGGAGCCTTGGCCTAGGCTACTGTTGACTGCTGCTGACGAGAGGAGCCTTGGCCTAGGCTACTGTTGACTGCTGCTGACGAGAGGAGCCTTGGCCTGGGCTACTGTTGACTGCTGCTGACGAGAGGAGCCTTGGCCTGGGCTACTGTTGACTGCTGCTGACGAGAGGAGCCTTGGCCTGGGCTACTGTTGACTGCTGCTAACGAAAGGAGCCTTGGCCTGGGCTACTGTTGACTGCTGCTGACGAGAGGAGCCTTGGCCTAGGCTACTGTTGACTGCTGCTGACGAGAGGAGCCTTGGCCTAGGCTACTGTTGACTTCTGCTGACGAGAGGAGCCTTGGCCTGGGCTACTGTTGACTGCTGCTGACGAGAGGAGCCTTGGCCTAGGCTACTGTTGACTGCTGCTGACGAGAGGAGCCTTGGCCTGGGCTACTGTTGACTGCTGCTGACGAGAGGAGCCTTGGCCTGGGCTACTGTTGACGAGAGGAGCCTTGGCCTGGGCTACTGTTGACGAGAGGAGCCTTGGCCTGGGGTACTGTTGACTGCTGTTGACGAGAGGAGCCTTGGCCTGGGCTACTGTTGACGAGAGGAGCCTTGGCCTGGGCTGCTGTTGACGAGAGGAGCCTTGGCCTGGGCTACTGTTGATTGCGAAAACGGTTGTCTTTTTCATTGAAGTAAAACTAAAGTTAGAGAATATGTCCTATAGTGAAAGGGGGAATGTCCTATTTATGGACACGTTTTTATATTGTAGTGGACTAAGACCAGAAGAAAGTTGGCGCGGCCAAATGCAGGCTACCGTGCAACTTGTTATTGAGGTAGGATGCAATTTTGGAACTTTTAACTTATTTATTTGTTCGTATTTATAATAAATAGTTTTATCATTATTATTATTGTATATCATTATTATTTTAGACCTATTTATTAATCTAAACTAGTTATTTAAATATGTAAAACGTGTCGTTTCATTCAGTTGACATTTTCATTGGCTAAATTAAGTGTGATCTGTCTTTTTAAATTGTATGCTTTAGTTTAAGATTTAAAAAAAAATAGCATTTCTTGATAATTGCTGCAATATAATCTGCTCAAAACTTTTGTGATGGTTTAAACCAGTTCGCAAATGTTTTGTTTAATTCTGTTCCAACTGTAATGTTGTGTTTGCCGCAATACAATATCTTGCTCGTATCTTCCCTATAAACGATGGCTTGACTTACTTTTGATATTACACTAATAAAGATGAGAAACTTTTGTGAAGGTTTAGTGTGGTGTGGCTATTAACCTATTATACTGTAAGCCTATGCACCGGCCGTCCAACTGACTCCGACAGTTGAACTTGAGGTGAGGAACAATGTTTAGGCTTATCAGAGTTACTCCTATGATATCTAACAATATAATGCTCCTCTTTATAAAAAAATGTTACAAATTAGCCTCCTTCTGTATGCCTATATCAGTATAGCAGGCGACGTAGCCTATCTGACAAGGAAAAATAAATTCATGTCGGTGTCGTAGCATTCAGCCGGCATATCCCCCTTGCTCTCTCTGGGGCTAGGCCTAAGCTTCCCTTCCTTTATATACTTAATAAAATATAAACGCAACATGTAAAGTGTTGGTCCCATGTTTCATGTGCTGAAATAAAAGATCCCAGAAATGTTACATATCCACATAAAGCTTATTTTCTCTCAAATGTTGTGCACAAATGTGTTTACATCCCTGTTAGTGAGCATTTATCTTTTGCCGAGATAATCCATCCACCTAACAGGGCATCTTGTTTTGTTACGGTCATAGTTTTAGTCAGGAAAACTAAATTAACACTGAGCAGAGACATTTTGATGTATTAAAGCCAATTTCCTGCAGTTCTACACATTTTTCCGTGGCTTATGCCGTGTTCTTATGCTATCCGAGTGACTCAAACATTATAACAAAATCAATGGGGGGCCCCATGACATTTTGGGAATTGTCTAGTGATTGTTAGGTCTCAAAGATGATCTTATTTTAAACTATATAGCTCCATTATCTTTTCTACAGTGTGAACTTTAGTTTTTTAAGTTCACACTGAAAACGTTTTACAATTCCGCTACATTTTTGTAAAGAAAAATATATTTTGGAGTGGTGGCAACGATGAATATAGGGGAAACACTGGCACCCGATGCATACGGATGACCGGTACATTTCTCAAACGTCCGATAAATTAAAAATCTTCCCAGTCACTTTCCTAACGGAAACCCTGGTGTGTGTGTGTGTGTGCTGTGTTGGGGGTCTTTACCTCTCTCTCAAAGTCCCCGTCTGGGTCGGAGATGTTGCGAGACGATCCTGCTCCTCCAAAGTCTGCACCTCCTTCATGACACAACACACATACACACACACACACACACACACACACGGACATAGAGCATTAGCATCAATGACAGAGAGAGAGAGAATGGATTTACTAAAAAGTGTGAGTTGAAAGGTATGCAGTATGTGTTGTAACCACATGCGGAAGGTGTGTGTGTGTGTGTGTGTGTGTGTGTGTGTGTGTGTGTGTGTGTGTGTGTGCGCTCGGGGTCCTCTCACCAGAGGCCGTGCGGGTGATGTGGGTCTTGCTCCACTGTTGCCGGGAGATACTGGAGAGTGGGCGGGGCTTGTCCTTGGCCGGGTCGTCCTGAGAAGAATGCATCACACTCTGTACCACCAAGCAGTCGCCAAGACACACACACACACACACACACACACACACACACACACACACACACACACACACACACACACACACACACACACACACACACACACAGTAAGACAATGGCACATATATTTGACTATATGGGTGAACAGGTTTGTGTTCATTAGGACACACAACGGAAAACGTTTTTAAAAGGTTTTGCAACAAAAATTAGCGTTTCTTATTGGACATCCCCATTTAATTGAGTTTAATTTCATTGGGTGCCTTATGAACACGACCCAGGTGCATGATTTGACACGGTCAAGACATTTATATGGATGCTTATGCACGCACTACTGCACACGCATGAAACCAACAGCCTTGTACAAGCTCACACGCACAGCGATAAACTCCAGATGCACAGAAAGTCACTCGTTTGACTGAAACAAGTCACAAGCCACGCCGGTATATGTTTTCGCAAAATTCAATGGGGGGAAAATAGCCATAGATAAGTCTCTACATGACTTCTGGTGGCCGTCTTCTAATAGATTAAACCTTTAGGGAGCTTTTCCAATTGGCTGGGCTCCATTTTCAAAAAAGCTTTCTCTCCATTGAACCCTGAGGGAAGCTTATCAAGCATGTTGTTGACCAGTTCTAACATGACAAATAACCACACTGCAGCCAGAAACAGAAAAACAGACTCACTATGACGTCAGCCGAAATAAAAAACCACCCCCAGATTCCGAAAAACTCACTGCACTCGAGCAAACTGAAAACGGAACTGCGAGGAAGAAGGGGGGGGGGGGAGGGGGGGAGGGGGGGGCTGGAAATATGACCGATCCCAAGTCGACCCACAAGCCCCTACTCCTTATTCATTTGTGGAGATCGAAGAGCAGCGGTTAGATACAGTCACCATTATCATTGGCACCCTTGATAAAGATGAGCAAAAAAGACTGTATGAAATCAATAAAATACTGAGATTTTGTATGCTAATTTTTTATTTATTTGTTTTATACTAATACAATTGCTCAGAGTTTAACAAGTAATTATTTATTTTCTCAAAAAGAATAGCACTGTTTTTAATACTTTTTGCACCCTCTCCTTGCTAGGATAATGGCACCTAGCCTTTAGTGTTTTATGAGAACACACCGGGAGGGATCTTAGACCATTCCTCCATAGAGAATCTTTCCGGATACTTGATTTCCTTTGGTCTGCTCTTATGGACTGCCCTCAATTCAAACCACAGTCCGGAGACTGACGTGGCCATTGCAACTTTAAACACAAGTATTCAGACCCTTTACTCAGTACTTTTTTGAAGCACCTTCGGCAGCAATTACAGCCACGAGTCTTCTTGGGTATGACGCTACAAGCTTGGAACACCTGTATTTGGGGAGTTTCTCCCATTCTTCTCTGCAGATCCTCTCATGCTCTGTCAGGTTGAGTGGGGAGCGTCACTGCACAGCTATTTTCCGGTCTCTCCAGAGATGTTAGATCGGGTTCAAGTCCGGGCTCTGGCTGGACCACTGAAGGAAATTCAGAGACTTGTCTCAAAGTCACTCCTGCGTTGTCTTGGCTGTGTGCTTAGGGTCGTTGTTCTGTTGGAAGGTGAACCTTCACCCCAGTCTGAGGTCCTGAGCGCTCTGGAGCAGGTTTTTATCAAGGATCTCTCTGTACTTTGCTCCGTTCATCTTTCCCTCATTCCTGACTAGTCTCCCAGTCCCTACCGCTGAAAAACATCCCCACAGCATGATGCTGCCACCACCATGCTTCACCGTAGGGATGGTGCCAGGTTTCCTCCAGATGTGACGCTTGGCATTCAGGCCAAAGAGTTCAATCTTGGTTTCATCAGGCCAGAGAATCTTGTTTCTCATGGTCTGAGAGTCCTTTAGCGGGCTGTCATGTGCCTTTCACTGAGGAGTGGCTTCCATCTGGCCACTACCATAAGGGCCTGATTGGTGGAGTGCTCTTTATAGACATCTCAAGGATGACCAATGGAAACAGGATGCACCTGAGCTCAATTTCGAGTCTCATAGTAAAGGGTCTGAATACTTATGTAAATAATGTATCTGTTTTCATTTTTAATACAAAAAAAATTAACACTGTCATTATGGGGTATTGTGTGTAGATTGATGAGGTGGAAAAAAATGGAATCCATTTTAGAACAAGGCTGTAATGTAACAAAATGTGGAAAAAGTCAAGGGGTCTGAATACTTTACGAATGCACTGTAGGCCCGAGGGTAGAAGTACCGCCAATGTTTATCCTTTCCCTTTAATCATGGACTAATTCAGACCTGGGACAAATCTCTGTCCAATGAAAAAATAACATGAATTAATCAATTAACAACCAGAGAGAGAAAGAAAACCAGCAGTACCCCAGACCTCCAGGCACGGATTTAACAACCAGTACACCAGACCTCCAGGCTCAGATTTAACAACCAGTACCCCAGACCTCCAGGCTCAGATTTAACAACCAGTACCCCAGGCCTCCAGGCACAGATTTAACAACCAGTACCCCAGGCATAGAGGCTAGGTCACTAGGGGATAAGGGCTACTGCGGGTGTCGATTTGGGATTGTGCAAAAGAGGTGGTGGTGGTGTCAAAAGGAGGAGAGTGGGGGAAGGAGGGGGGAAGCGTCAGGTCAGGCCTACCCTTCCTAGGGAGGAGGTGGAGGGAGAGGAGGAGGAGGAGGATGAGAGCTGAGGCATGCTGCAGTGCTGCAGCGAGGAGGTGGAGGAAGAGGTGGAGGGCTCTTTCTGCAGGTAGAGGCCGGCCGACACGAGGCTCATGTGATAGACGTGCTCAAAGTTGCTCGGTGGGGAGATCAGGGCGTGGTGGCGGGAGGATGAGGGGGAAGGGGTGGTGGCGGCGCTCTCGCTCTGCTGCCAGGCCGGGGGGGGGGGGGGGGGGGGTGAGAGAGAAGGAGAGAGAGAAAAAGAGAGTGGAAACAAAGGACACGAACAAGACAGATGAAAAAAAGAGAGGGAGGGGAGGAGAAAGTGAAAGAGGGCGTGAGGGAGGGACTACAGGGTCATTCTCAAAAAAGAGAAGGAGGAGGAGCAGAGGTGGTAAATAGGTAGAGAAAGGTGACATCTAGAAGGTAGGATAGCAGTGTTATTCTGTGGAGTTAGGATGGTAGGATAGCAGTGCTATTCTGTGGATTTAGGATGGTAGGATAGCAGTGCTATTCTGTGGATTTAGGATGGTAGGATAGCAGTGCTATTCTGTGGAGTTAGGATGGTAGGATAGCAGTGCTATTCTGTGGAGTTAGGATGGTAGGATAACAGTGCTATTCTGTGGAGTTAGGATGGTAGGATAACAGTGCTATTCTGTGGAGTTAGGATGGTAGGATAACAGTGCTATTCTGTGGAGTTAGGATGGTAGGATAGCAGTGTTATTCTGTGGAGTTAGGATGGTAGGATAGCAGTGCTATTCTGTGGAGTTAGGATGGTAGGATAGCAGTGTTATTCTGTGGAGTTAGGATGGTAGGATAGCAGTGTTATTCTGTGAAGTTAGGATGGTAGGATAGCAGTGCTATTTTGTAAAGTTAGGATGGTAGGATAGCAGTGCTATTCTGTGGAGTTAGGATGGTAGGATAACAGTGCTATTCTGTGGAGTTAGGATGGTAGGATAACAGTGCTATTCTGTGGAGTTAGGATGGTAGGATAACAGTGCTATTCTGTAGAGTTAGGATGGTAGGATAACAGTGCTATTGTGTGGAGTTAGGATGGTAGGATAGCAGTGCTATTCTGTGGAGTTAGGATGGTAAGATAGCAGTGCTATTCTGTGGAGTTAGGATGGTACGATAGCAGTGCTATTCTGTGGAGTTGGTAGTGGGAGCTGCTAGTGTCAGAAAATGCAAGGAGACACCATTTTGTCTCCAGTGGGTGTCTTGCGATCGTTAAAAAACAGCTGTTATGGCTCCTGTTTTGTTACGTTTTAAGGGGCGGCCATGTTGTCACCCGCAATTTCAGAAAGGTTATCACAGGGCAGACATTTTGGTTCCTGCGATATCAGTTAGGTTATTTGCCGTCCCGGGTCCAGCAAATGTCTGTTAATTTGCAATAGACAGCCACTTTGGCTGCTACAATATCAGTCAGGTTATAAGGGGGTTGGGGAGGCCATTTTGATTCCTGCAACGTCAGTTGGGTTATGACAGAGATGGAAAGAGGTCCCATCTTTGTATCTGTTGCCATTATGGCGTCTGTGACATCACGGGCAGCACCATTAAGGCTATCTCCATTTTAAAGTAGTCAATTTTCTTCTCCTTTTGATGTTTGAAAATGTGCCTCAATGACAATGTCCATGCTAAAATGGGTTATATCCAAGTTGAGTCCTATAACTACCTCTATGGGTTATGAATACAGTATGAGGCAGCCATTTTGGCACCAGCTGTGGCCCTTACCAGAGGCAGATCCATGAGGACCTGCATGCCGTCGCCGGGGCCCATGTGTGCCACGTGGTTAAAGTTGATTGGGTTGGAGATCATCTTGGACCTCAGCTCAGGGTCCCTCAGCATCTCTCTGTCAACACAACACACATGGTTACAATGGTCAGTGTGTATTATTGTGAACAGTTACATTTGAGTCATTTAGTAACATCTTATCCAGAGCAACTTACAGGAGCAATTAGGGTTAAGTGCCTTGCCCAAGGGCACATTGACAGATTTTTCATCTAGTCGGCTTGGGGATTCAAACCAGAGATCTTTCGGTTACTGGCCCAACCGCTAGGCTACCTGCCGCCCCAAGATGTACTGGATTAGTGCACTGCAATGGTGGTATACAGACTGACTTAAGTTAAGAAATGATTGTCAGAAGTTAGACGTATAAGGTGAACAGAGTAATGTTGCCTCCTCTGGTGCTGGAGTCTGGTCGAGTGGTGCCCCCCTGGCGACGGGGGTTCAAGCCCCGACTCAGCCTCCCTCATCTAAAACCCTATTTTCTGTCTCCCCTCCCTACTTTATGGCTGTCCAGTCCACAAATCAAGAAAAGTATGAAAGGGGATTGTGGGGGGGGGGGGGGGGGGAAGGTTACCTCCTCTGCTGCAGCCTCTCCTCTTCCGGGACCTTGAAGAGGAACTTCCTCTTGCTGCGCGTCCTCACCATAAGCTTCTTACTGTTGTCAGACGTCTCCGGGATGGCCAGGTCACCTTCTGCAGGACGGACAGAGAAAGAGAGTGAGGAAGAATATGTCGTGATTTGAGATATAGTTGAGTGTATTGGGGTATATATGTAGTGAGTATATTGAGATAAAGGTGAGTGTATTGGGGTATATATGTAGTGAGTATATTGAGATAAAGGTGAGTGTATTGGGGTATATATGTAGTGAGTATATTGAGATATAGGGGATTGTATTGGGGTATATGTAGTGAATATATTGAGATAAAGGTGAGTGTATTGGGGTATATATGTAGTGAGTATATTGAGATGTAGGTGAGTGTATTTGGGGTATACAGTGAGGGAAAAAAGTATTTGATCCCCTGCTGATTTTGTATGTTTGCCCACTGACAAAGACATAATCAGTCTATAATTTTAATGGTAGGTTTATTTGAACAGTGAGAGACAGAATAACAACAAAAAAATCCAGAAAAACGCATGTCAAAAATGTTTTAAATTGATTTGCATTTTAATGAGGAAAATAAGTATTTGACCCCTCTGCAAAACATGACTTAGTACTTGGTGGCAAAACCCTTGTTGGCAATCACAGAGGTCAGACACACATCTCCAGGTTTGCACACATCTCAGGAGGGATTTTGTCCCAATCCTCTTTGCAGATCTTCTCCAAGTCATTAAGGTTTCGAGACTGACCTTAGGCAACTCGAACCTTCAGCTCCCTTCACAGATCTTCTATGGGATTAAGGTCTGGAGACTGGCTAGGCCACTCCAGGACCTTAATGTGCTTCTTCTTGAGCCACTCCTTTGTTGCCTTGGCCATGTGTTTTGGGTCATTGTCATGCTGGAATACCCATCCACGACCCATTTTCAATGCCCTGGCTGAGGGAAGGAGGTTCTCACCCAAGATTTGACGGTACATGGCCCCGTCCATCGTCCCTTTGATGCGGTAAAGTTGTCCTGTCCCCTTAGCAGAAAAACACCCCCAAAGCATAATGTTTCCACCTCCATGTTTGACGGTGGGGGTGGTGTTCTTGTGGTCATAGGCAGCATTCCTCCTCCTCCAAACACAGCGAGTTGAGTTGATGCCAAAGAGCTCGCTTTTGGTCTCATCTGACCACAACACTTTTACCCAGTTCTCCTCTGAATCATTCAGATGTTCATTGGCAAACTTAAGACGGCCCTGTATATGTGCTTTCTTGAGCAGGGGGACCTTGCGGGCGCTGCAGGATTTCAGTCCTTCACGACGTAGTGTGTTACCAATTGTTTTCTTGGTGACTATGGTCCCAGCTGCCTTGAGATCATTGACAAGATCCTCCCGTGTAGTTCTGGGCTGATTCCTCACCGTTCTCATGATCATTGCAACTCCACGAGGTGAGATCTTGCATGGAGCCCCAGGCCGAGGGAGATTGACAGTTATTTTGTGTTTCTTCCATTTGCGAATAATCACACCAACTGTTGTCACCTTCTCACCAAGCTGCTTGGCGATGGTCTTGTAGCCCATTCCAGCCTTGTGTAGGTCTACAATCTTGTCCCTGACATCCTTGGAGAGCTCTTTGGTCTTGGCCATGGTGGAGAGTTTGGAATCTGATTGATTGATTGCTTCTGTGGACAGGTGTCTTTTATACAGGTAACAAGCTGAGATTAGGAGCACTCCCTTTAAGAGTGTGCTCCTAATCTCAGCTCGTTACCTGTATAAAAGACACCTGGGAGCCAGAAATCTTTCTGATTGAGAGGGGGTAAAATACTTATTTCCCTCATTAAAATGCAAATCAATTTATAACATTTTTGACATGGGTTTTTCTGGATTTTGTTGTTGTTATTCTGTCTCTCACTGTTCAAATAAACCTACCATTAAAATTATAGACTGATCATTTCTTTGTCAGTGGGCAAACGTACAAAATCAGCAGGGGATCAAATACTTTTTTCCCTCACGGTATTAGTGAGTATATTGAGATATAGATGAGATATAGGTGAGTGTATGGGGTATTATGTAGTGGTATATTGAGATAGTGGAGTGTATTGGGGTATATATGTAAAGTATATGAGATAAGTCAGTGTATTTGTATATAGTGTGAGTTTGTAGGTGAGTGTATTTGGGGTATATCTGTGTGAGTATTGGATATGGGTGTATTTGGGGTATATATGTATGAGTTATTGAGATTAGAGTGTTTGGGGTATATATGTAGTGAGTATATTGAGATATGGTGAGTGTTTGGTGTATGGGGTTATATGTAGTGAGTATATGAGTTATTGTTATTGTGGTATTGTGTAGTTTATTGGGGTATGTATTGGTATATTGAGATATATTGAGTGTATTGGGGTTTGTGTGAGATATTGATATAGTGAGTGTCTTGGGTCTTATGTCGTTTTGAGTGTATTGGGGGTATATATGTAGTGAGTAGTTATTGAGATATGGTGGGTGTATTGTATTGGGTATATTGTAGTGCGTATTATTGCGATCTATGGTGAGTGTATTTGGGGGTATGGTAGTATATTGGTAGTGTGTATTGGGGTATATGTAGTGATATATTGAGTTAGTGTCTTGGGGTTTGTATATATGTAGTGAGTATTTTGGTTTATTGTAGTGATATAGTTTGTAGTGGTATTTGGGTCTGTAATATGTAGTGAGTATATTGAGATATAGGTGAGTGTATTTGGGGTATATATGTAGTGCGTATATTGAGATATAGATGAGTGTATTTGGGGTATATATATGTAGTGCGTATATTGAGGTGTATTTGCACCTGTGGAGTTGTTGCTGAAGTAGATGAGGCGTGGTTGTTCAGAGCCCAGCAGGTTCAGACTGCCCTCCACATTCAGAGGCCTTATCTGAGGGTCAGGGTTACACCAAGACACTCTACAGATCAGGGGCATATATACACAAGTGCACACAGACACTCCATTCATTCATTCATTCATGCACACACACACACACACACACATTCACTCCCCCCACACACACACACACCCAAGATTAGAACATGCATCCTCGCATTCACTCACTCACCAAGACACCCCATTATGGGTTATTAGACTGAGCCCAGACTGTTGTATGGGCGGGACAGCCCTGCTTTTACCTTCCTCAGTGAAATGGTCTGGACCCACTCGGTGGTGTGGATGTCGAACACATCCACCCCATACTCGCTGTACACCGTAAGGTAGGAGGAGCTGGAACCTGACGGACACCACAGGAGAGAAACGCTGACCAATCACAGAGGCCTCCACAACTTGATACATTTGTAGGATACAATATACTAGATACAGTTTATTTTTTACCTTCTTTTAAATGTTTTAACAATATTGAATGTCTTTCAGTGCCCCTTCAAAATATGTTGTGCCACTTAGCAGAAGGACTTCAGAGTTGGATAGCTAACAGTTTCTGGGTGTAATGTATTGTGAATGCATTCAGGCATTCTACATAGGTCGTTCTAAGGTGTCTCAATCACTACCAATGATAGAGATTGTTAGGGTTGGGCGGTATCCAGATTTTAATACTGTCATACCGTTTCAATACCATACCGGGGTATACAGTATTACTTAAAGTGCACACAAGGGGTGCTATTTCAACAACAACAACAACCCGCACAGACCACGCAAGTCTATATATTTTTTAACGGTACTGAAATTCATACCGTCGGTATTAAGAAATACCCCGGTATGAACGATATATATCGCCCAAGCCTATAGAGATCGTTTTATCTGCTGTTTTACAATTGCATGTAATCCTGCATTTGTTTAAAAATATATATTTGAAGGTATTTTCTGATTGTATTGAACAGATAGAGATAGAGGATGACTGTGAGGAAAGATAGAGGGAGGGTTGTGTGCAAGGACAGTAGGCTGGATTCCAACCTATGCCGACATGTGCCGGAGACTTCTGCATCACCGCTAGACCAGCTGCATTTGTTCTCCAAAACTTGCCTAACCCAAACTCAACGCAACCACTCAAAACAAAACCAAAGCGTGACGTACTGCAGGCGAGCGGCGTGGCGGGCCACATCAGTTCCTGGGCCCTGCTCCTCTTCCCCGTGGGGTCCACGTAGATCCCCAGCTGGCTGAAGCAGAGTAACAGCTCGGCCGTGCCCACCTCCAGGGCATGCAGCGCGTCCAGGGGCTGCTGGGCCAGGAAGGCTAGCGACTGGTCCCCGGGGCTCACCAGGCTGACGGGCGACGACTCGCCCTGGAGGGCCAGCAGGGCGAAGCCCGAGGGGTAGCCCACGCACAGGCGTTCGCGCACCATGCCCAGCCACTGGACCACCCCTGGGGCCTGCACCTCCCACAGCTTGCGGTGGTGCGGCTTGGCCCGGGTGATCTCATAGCACAGCACCTGGTGAAGGGGGAGAGAAGTTGAGGAGACGTTACTACTTACGTTCTGGCAAAGCAGCAGATGGAAAGGACCTTTTATAATCAGTCTTGATGTAGCTAGTAGGAGTTTGCTTATTAACGATTTGCGAAGCATCTACGCAGTGCTTATGAAGACTACGCAGTGCTTATGAAGACTTTATGAATGCACCCTTTATAAATTGTTTGTTTTGAAATGGGGTCGATATGAGATCCATTTCTTCATTTGACATGTTTTGTATTGGAACTCTTATTAGTGCTTTTGGCACCGTTTGTCTGCATGTGTAAACAGGTAAATCAATAAATAAAACAGTGACCTGTCGCTTGACGGCAGCCAGCAGGCAGGCGGGTCCCCCGGGGCGCAGCACGCCCGTGGTCAGTGCCTGGCAGCCCTTGGTCTCTGTCAGCTTGATGTCGAAGGCCGCCTCGGCCCCCTCCAGCACCCCCCAGGGGTGCAGGTGCACGTGTCGGTTGCGTCCACACAGCAGGGCCACCATCTTCTCTTTGGGGATCAGCTCCATCTGGTGCACCTTCTTGCAGTCGGCCGCCCGCACGATCACTGAAGAGGGGAGAGAAGGGGGAGTCAACAGGGGAGGTGGTAGGGCCAAATGACACACAGAGAATCATAGTGTGTTGAAAGGAATCACAAATGGTGATTTGTGAGTCAATAGGCAAGATGATAGATGGTTGATTCCGAATTGTCGACACTTTCTCTCCTTGATTTCAGTCTCCCCCCCTTCTAAAAACCAAATGGAGGAGAAGGTCCGATGAAAGGGACTTTGGATTCTCCACCAATGCATTTTTAGAAGGAACCGAAGAGAGAGGAAGCGAGGAGAGAGGAGGTGAGGAATCGAGGAAAGACCATGGAGAAATAGTCTTAGGATGAAGAAAGAAATCTGAGTCAAGATACATGTTGGAAATGAAAGAAATCTAAAAACATGACTTTTCTTCTGCATGGAGGAGTCTGCATGCTGTTATCATATGAGCCTCTATGGGGGCTGTCACATATCCATGTAATGTCCGGATGATGGAGCATTTGGTACCCTGATGATCTGCACTATAGAGCATTTGTGAAACGTAAACGAACCCTGGCTGAAACAAATCCTGGACCTGGCCGAGTGGTGGGTTCCAGATCCCGGACCAGAGCACCATGTCCTGTTACAATTCAGTGCAAGTCGCGTGGAACTTTTTCGCCCATTGTAAACAAGCTAGCTTGCTAACGTCATGTGGAAAGTGCATTTTATTTATTAATTTTTAAGGCTAAATATATTTGGTCGAATTTTCAGAACAATACCAGGGTACCGAATGTCATATGTGAAAACGCCCTATGAGTGGATATGACCAGATGTGGGATAGGTATGTTCTTACCATCTCTGGTGACCTCCACTACAAACAGGCCTTCCTCTGTTCCCAGGGCGATACGCTCTCGATCTGCAGGGAGACAGAGGAGCAGTCAACACAGTCTCTGATTCTCTCTCCCTCTCTCCCTCTCTCTCTCCCTCCCTCCCTCCCTCCCTCCCTCACTTTTTCCATACACTGTACGTTACATTTGTTAAAAAAATGAAAAACACAAACAAAACCCACAACAGATTTTACTAATGTTTCTTACACTTTGAAAATCGTTAATTGACCTGTTCCAGCTGCTAAACAGAAATCGTAAAAAATAAAAAAATAAAATAAAGATTTCCACACACATTTGTGCTGCTCATGATAAATGAGGCCCACTGTCCCCGGACTCACTGATTATGGAGGGTGTGGTCTTCATGGCAGACAGAGTCGTATGCCTCACGCTCTCTCCCACTGCCATCCTCCACACACACAGCAACACCTCTCGCAAACACACGCGTTTGAGTAAACGCACCATCATATTTTTAATAAACTGAGATCTCAAACTGCAATTTGCGATTGCATTCTGTGTTTTGCGTGTGCCCACTACAAAAACAATGAAACTTCCTCCCTCACAGAAATTGTCACAGAAAAGTTACAACATTACTTACACTGCAGATTATAATTTCACTCATCCAGTACAGATTATAATTTCACTCATCCAGTACAGATTATAATTTCACTCATCCAGTACAGATTATAATTTCACTCATCCAGTACAGATTATAATTTCACTCATCCAGTACAGATTATAATTTCACTCATTCGGTCGATCTGAAATGTTACGGTGTGTTTGCGAGAGGGAAATGTTTCAGTCTCTTCAGTAGTTCCCCAACTCACCGACGATGGCCGCGCAGAGCGTGGTCTTGATGGCGGGCAGCGAGGAGTCGTAGGCCTCGTGCAGGGCGTGCACCACGCGGTTCCTGAGGCGGTTCTTGGCCAGGATGCTCTGCAGGCCCTCCAGGATGCCCATCCACTTCTTCTTCTCCGCCTCGCTCTCAGCCAGCACCAGCAGAGAGACGGCACCCGCCGGCGAGCTCAGCAGGGACGACGTCACCTGATGGACAGAGAGGGCCAGGTTTATAATGCATTATGATACATTTGTGTGTCGTAACACTGACTATAAGGTTCCATAGTAACTCCTGAGTCAGAGAGAGAGGGAGGGCTCGGGTTAATAATAATTGCAACTTTGGGTCCTTGAAAAGTGCTATATAAAAGCCATGTATGATTATTATTTCACGTTTGTCATTGGGTTTTCTCACATAGGAAACATCATCACATAGTAGCAATAGACTATAATAAAATTGTACAGTAATCAATATAATAACGTTTTTCCACATAAAGGGTTATAATGATAATTATGATACACCATAACTTTCCATAGTAACTCACAAGTAGTTTTAACATCCTTTAGATGTAACTTTATTTCAAGATCATTTATCGGGTTCTCTCACACAGATTACAATGAAATTATACAGGCGTCAACATAATAACTTTATTCACAAAGCGCTTTTCATACAGCAGTTCAGAGCTCACCCTGAATATGCAGGGAACGTCTTTGCGGGTGGCGTGGATGACGTCCGAGGCCAGGACAGAGCTGACGGAAAACTCCTCATCTCTGTGGACATACACAGAACACAGTGTTACAAACACACACACACACACCCCAAACAAACACACACAGCAGGGCTGTGACGTTATGGAATTTTGGGGTAATCGTTATTTGTCAGGCAAATGTCCACGTCACGGTTATAACCATTGAAATAGCAAAATTAAAGCATGAACATTTTCTCCTCTACTCTCCGTCTGCTTGGCAGCAGCAGTAGCACGTAGTCAAAGATGTGTATAACTGGCCCAAGATAGACCACATCCTGTCGTTTCCAATGGGAGCAAATTAATCATAGTGTGCAGAACAAGAGAAGTGGGCAGAGCCAAGCACGAGCTAGTGAGATTCCTATTGGCATGTTCAAGCATTTATTTGCATATTTCCCTTAGGGAACGCCTACTCTGTGAAGTGCGCGTGTGCAATAATTCAATTTGCCTTTGCACTCCTAAACAACACAATTTTTAGAAACTTTGGCAAAGGGTAAAGTCTACAAAATGACACTTGATCGTTAACTTCAGCAATATATTATGGCTTTTAGCATTATTTTGGCATCTTTGTAAACTGGATAAACGTATTCGCCAGAGCACTCTGCATACTAGGCTACAGATCATGCTAACTTTACAGCATCAAAGGGAGCGCATTTTTAAGGAGAGAGCGCATGTTGAAGGAGGCAGGAGATCACGGATTAAGGTAGAAAAGCACTTGTTTATAATAGTCATTCATTTACACTACTGCTATTGTGTATATCGGACATATTTACTTAAAAATAATCTAAAATGAATGTATTAGAGCGGTAGGGACAGTTATTTTACTCACGTCTTCATCCATAATTGTCAGTTACTTGGTTATACAATTATCGTGCCAGTCCTATCGCACACCCTTCATCTCCCTCCTTCCATCTCCCACACACAAACACCCTTCACCCCAACATAGTAGTCCTACCTGAGGTCCAGGACCTGACTGGTCACCACGCCCGGCTGGGTGGACTTGCCCTCCGGCACCTCGTACAGGAAGAGCTTACAGTCACAGACCACGGCGTACGCCCGCTGCCAGCCCTTCTTCACCCCTGTGGGCTTGGGGATCTGACGGAGAGGGCAGAGCAGCAACTTTTCAATTTAGAGGTCTGTTCATGTTAAAATCAAAATCACATTTTATGTCACATCCACCGAATACAACAGGTGTAGGTAGACCTCACCGTGTATTGCTTACTTACAAGCCCTTAACCAACAATGCAGTTCAATAAATAGTTACGAAAATATTTACTAAATAAACTAAAGTAAAACTAAAGATTAACACAATAAAATTACATAATTACGAGGCTATATACAGGGGGTACCGGTACCGATTCAATGTGCAGGGGTACAGGTTAGTAGAGGTAGTTTGTACATGTAGGTAGGGGTAAAGTGACTATGATAATAAACAGTGAGTAGCAACAGTGTAAAAATAAAGGGAGGGGGTAGGTGTCAATGTAAATAGTCCAGGTGGCCGTTTGATTAATTGTTAAGCAGTCTTATTGCTTGGGGGTAAAAGCTGTTAAGGAGGCTTTTGGACCTAGACTTGGCGCTCCGGTACCGCTTGCCGTGCGGTAGCAGAGAGAACAGTCTATGACTTGGGTGACTGGAGTCTTTGACAATTTTTTGGGCCTTCCTCTGACCACCTAGTATAGAGGTCCTGGATGTATTGGGCCGTACGCACTACCCTCTGTAGCGCCTTACGGTCGCATGCCGAGCAGTTGCCATACCAGGCGGTGATGCAACCGGTCAGGATGCTCTTGATGGTGCTGCTGTAGAAAAGTTTGAGGATCTGGGGACCCATGACAAAAAGGTGTTGTCGTGCCCTTTTGGTGTGTTTGGACCATGATAGTTTGTTGGTGATGTGGACACCAAGGAACTTGAAACTCTCTACATGCTCCACTACAGCCCCGTCAATGTTAATGGGGGCCTGTTCAGCCCTCCTTTTCCTGTAGTCCACGATCATCTCCTTTGTCTTGCTCACACCACCATGCCAGGTCTCTGACCTCCTCCATATAGGCTGTCTCATCATTGTCGGTGATCAGGCCTACCACTGTTGTGTCATCAGCAAACTTAATGATGGTGTTGGAGTCGTGCTTGGCCACACGGTCGTGGGTGAACAGGGAGTACAGGAGGGGACTAAGCACGCACCCCTGAGGGGCCCCGGTGTTGAGGATCAGCGTGGTTGATGTATTGTTGCCTAACCTTATCACCTGAGGGCGGCTCGTCAGGAAGTCCAGGATCCAGTTGCAGAGGGAGGTGTTTAGTCCCAGGGTCCTTAGCTTAGTGATGAGCTTTGTGGGCACTATGGTGTTGAACGCTGAGCTGTAGTCAATGAACAGCATTCTCACATAGGTGTTCCTTTTGTCCAGGTGGGAAAGGGCAGTGTGGAGTGCGATTGTGATTGCGTCATCTGTGAAACTGTTGGGGCAGTATGCGAATTGGAGTGGGTCTAGGGTTTCTGGGATGATGTGAGCCATGACCAGCCTTTCAAAGCACTTCATGGCTACCGACGTGAGTGCTACGGGGCGGTAGTCATTTAGGCAGGTTACCTTCGCATTCTTGGGCACAGGGACTATGGTGGTCTGCTTGAAACATATGGGTATTACAGCCTGGGTCAGGGAGAGGTTGAAAATGTCAGTGAAGACACTTGCCAGTTGGTCCGCGCATGCTCTGAGTACACACCCCTGGTAATCCGTCTGGCCCTGCGGCCTTGTGAATGTTGACCTGTTTAAAGGTCTTGCTCAAATCGGCTACGGAGAGCGTGATCACACAGTCGTCCGGAACAGCTGGTGCTCTCATGCATGCTTCAGTGTTGTTCAATTCCAATAAAATGTACATCACACTTTCCTATCTTGTTAAGCTGAACAGAATTGAGATGTCGTGATTACATCAAAGCAACAACATTTAAGGAAGATATTAGCGTATCACCATGAAACTAAATGATGCTCTGAAACTTCACAGCCAAGAGCATGATGTAATCATAGAATTATAATGACTAGAATGGGAAAACCTCTGACTGCACACTTAGGGTACACTCAATATGGCCGCAGGAATGAACGCTGTTGTCATTCTATTTCTATGGTGATAACCTGTCACTAAGTGTGCAGTGCTCACCCTGACGAAGCCCTTGTAGGCGGTGCCGATGCCCCTCTGTACGTCAATGCCCAGAGGCCTCTTGGCCTGCTCAGGGGGGATGGGGCACACCAGGGGAGCGTTGTCCTTACAAGTTACATGGCAGATGAAGGAGCACACTGGAGAGAGAGAGAGAGAGAGAGAGAGAGAGAGAGAGAGAGAGAGAGAGAGAGAGAGAGAGAGAGATAGAGAGAGAGAGAGAGAAGAGAAAGAGAGAGAAGAGAGAGAGAGAGAGAGAAGGAGATACGAGCTAGAGCTATCGCTCTCTCTCCCCTCTGATATCTCGCTCATCCGAGAGATCTCCGAGATAGCTGGGCTCAGAGTTCGACCATGCGTGAGTATTCGTCTCCACAAGATACATGCAGTCATCACAAGGTGCAGTTTCCCTTTCAGATCTCCCATTCAGTCAAAACATTACAGTCCGTTTATAGCGAGTGGTGTGTTTGCGGTAGGAAAATGCCGCCCACAATCTCCCCAGTCCCCCAAATAACCGACAAAGGCGACCAAGAGGGTGGTCGTGTGTGTCTGACGCTCACCTTCACAGGCGTAGCCCTGGCGGATGAGACCCACCATCAAGGAGGTGCAGTGGGTGCACTGGGTGGGGCTAGAGAAGTTCTTGATGCTCAGCTGGTGAGCTTTGGGCTGCAGACACACACACACACACACACACACAAGAAGAGAGAGTTAAGAACACAGAACATATATCCAAGTGTTACAGACTAGCTGACAGCGTGTGTGTGTTTGTGTCAAATTATTCTATGAGTATGCGTGGTGGCACATATGCGGGAGCATGTTGTTTTCAATGTGTGAGAGCGGGGGTGTGTGTGTGTGTGGGGCCAGGTGGTACCTTTGGTGTGGTCAGCAGCGATGTCTGATAGACAGGGGAGGGGGCGGTAGGGGTAACAGCAGGGGGCTTGGGGACTGGCTCCTGTGGGAGAGGGGTTAAAGTTTAAAGGTCAACAGGTCAAACTGGGGAGAGGACAGCGCTGGGTTCATTAGGCACCAAATGAAATAACATCTACTGAAGCAGGGAGGGACTACATTGAGTTGCCCAATAAGAAACTAATTTTTGTTTTCCGTTGCAAAACGTTTTCCATTGCGTGCCTTAATGAACGTGACCCTGGTTCTATACTTTAAAAACACGCACTATGCTTTACTGGGACAAGAGAGTCATTCAATTAGCTAACAATCAGCAAGGGGGTCCATTTTTACTTCTGGAGATGCATTTAATTCATACTTTGTAAAAATTGCCCTGCATTTTACCTCTTTTCCTATATTGACAGTGAGTTTCAACGAATGATGAACCCTGGATTGCTGATGCTACGTATTGGCCATTGAGAGGTTTTGAATTAAATGTTTCAAGGACAATATTACATCTATTTGTGTTGTAGTGAGGACAGTAATATTAGTAATCTCAAAACAATTATACTTTCAGGAAATATGATTTTATGTTAAATTTGTATGTTTAGTTCAGATAATATAATTTAAAAGTGTGCATTTAAGATGTCTGTAATAGAATTAATGTGGCAAAAATATATTCTTTTTTTTTTTTTTTTTTTACAATGGTGTGGGGGAGTGCGAAGATGGAGGCACGGTGGCTTCAACACAGCGCCCTCTACCAGTCATCCAGTGTATATATAAATCAATGGTTACAACATTTTTACATTTTTGTCATTTAGCAGACGCTCTTATCCAGAGCGACTTACAGGAGCAATTAGGGTTAAATGCATTGTTCAAGGGCACAGACAGATTTTTCACCTAGTCGGCTCGGGGATTAGAACCAGTGACCTTACGATTACTGGCACTACGCTCTTAACCACTAAGCTACCCTGTTAAAATGAACAATAGGCATTGTGAATCATAGCAAACAGTAAAATATTAAATTGTACAATGGTGACGGGCGTATTTATTTATTACATGTTATTACTTTCCTATTATTTCTCTGTTTTCTTTCTCTCTGCATTGATGGGAAAGGCGTGTCAGTGAGCATTTCACTGTTAGTCTACACCTGTTGTTTACCAAGCATGTGACAAATAGAATGTGATTTGAACTGGGATGAGACATAGGGAACGTCTGGAGAAAGGATGTCTGGGAGGGATGTGCGATATGAACGGAAGTGTGTGTGTGTGTGTGTGTGTGTTTGTGTGTGTTTTTGTGTGCGCGATGGAACACTCACATCCTGCTCAGAGGACACGGAGGGCGACGAGGAGGGGACGTCCGACTTCTGGGGCGTGGCGTCTATCTCACTGACAGAGCTGGTCTGGAGGAGGGAGAGGGATGACGGGACAGATGAGTGTGTGTGTACTGGGCGGAGATGTTTGCGTTTGCTATAAGCTGAGAAACACACACTAGGGTCACCAGCACTGACAACTATAGAACTAGGAGGCATGCTTGAGGTTGTGCTTATCCACAGCTCTAGAATCAGACTAGCCAATCACCAATCCGTTAGGGCGTTAAAATATAGCTGACCCTGTATCAGTGGTTCATTTCTATCTGATGGGGGGCTGAAGGGAGCATTAGGCAGCCAGCAGGTGGTGCTAAGTGCCCATCTCTCGATGCCTGTGTTGAGTCAAGATGCGTTCCCCTCCTTGAATATTTGCGTTCCCCATGTACAAAAATGTGTTTTGATGAAATTGTGTCAGTATCTGAGGGAGGGGACACATCTCAACAACACCTGTATCAACTCACACACAGAGGAACTGCCAATGCTATACTTAAGCAATAAGGCACGAGGGGGGTGTGGTATATGGCCAATATACCACGGCTAAGGGCTGTTCTTATGCACGACGCATCGCGGAGTGCCTGGACACAGCCCTTAGCCGTGGTATATTGGCCATATACAGTTGAAGTCAGAAGTTGACATACACCTTAGCCAAACACATTTAAACTCAGTTTTTCACAATTCCTGACATTTAATCCTAGTAAAAATTCCCTGTTTTAGGTCAGTTAGGATCACCACTTTATTTTAAGAATGTGAAATGTCAGAATAATAGTAGAGAGAATGATTTATTTCAGCTTTTCTTTCTTTCATCACATTCCCAGTGGGTCAGAAGTTTACATACACTCAATTAGTATTTGGTAGCATTGCCTTTAAATTGGGTCAAACATTTCGGGTAGTCTTCCACAAGCTTCCCACAATAAGTTGGGTGAATTTTGGCCCATTCCTCCTGACAGAGCTGCTGTAACTGAGTCAGGTTTGTAGGCCTCCTTGCTCGCACACGCTTTTTCAGTTATGCCCACAAATTTTCTATAGGATTGAGGTCAGGGCTTTGTGATGGCCACTCCAATACCTTGACTTTGTTGTCCTTAAGCCATTTTGCCACAACTTTGGAAGTATGCTTGGGGTCATTGTCCATTCGACCAAGCTTTAACTTCCTGACTGATGTCTTGAGATGTTGCTCCAATATATCCACATAATTTTCCTTCCTCATGATGCCATCTATTTTGTGAAGTGCACCAGTCCCTCCTGCAGCAAAGCACCCTCACAGCATGATGCTGCCACCCCCGTGCTTCACGGTTGGGATGGTGTTCTTCGGCTTGCAAGCATTCCAGTTTTTCCTCCAAACATAACGATGGTCATTATGGCCAAACAGTTCTATTTTTGTTTCATCAGACCAGAGGACATTTCTCCAAAAAGTACGATCTTTGTTCCCATGTGCAGTTGCAAACCGTAGTCTGTCTTTTTTATGGCGGTTTTGGAGCAGTGCCTTATTCCTTGCTGAGCGGCCTTTCAGGTTATGTCGATATAGGACTTGTTTTACTGTGGAGATAGATACTTTTGTACCCGTTTCCACCAGCGTCTTCACAAGGTCCTTTGCTGTTGTTCTGGGATTTATTTGCACTTTTCGCACCAAAGTACGTTCATCTCAAGGAGACAGAACGCGTCTCCTTCCTGAGCGGTATGACGGCTGCGTCATGGTGTTTATACTTGCATACTATTGTTTGTACAGTTGAACGTGGTACCTTCAGGCGTTTGGAAATTGCTCCCAAGGATGAACCAGACTTGTGGAGGTCTACAATTTTTTTCCTGAGGCCTTGGCTGATTTCTTTTGGTTTTCCCATGATGTCAAGCAAAGAGGCACTGAGTTTGAAGGTAGGCCTTGAAATACATCCACAGGTACACCTCCAATTGACTCAAATGATGTCAATTAGCCTATCAGAAGCTTCTAAAGCCATGACATCATTTTCTGGAATTTTCCAAGCTGTTTAAAGGCACAGTCAACTTAGTTTATGTAAACTTCTGACCCACCGGAATTGTGATACAGTTAATTATAAGTGAAATAATCTGTCTGTAAACAATTGTTGGATAAATGTATTTTGTCATGCACAAAGTAGATGTCCTAAGCAACTTGCCAAAACTATAGTTTGTTAACAATACATTTTTGGAGTGGTTGAAAAACGAGTTTAAGTGTATGTAAACTTCCGACTTAGTATAGTATTTCACCATCATGAAGGCATACTCGGGAAAGGTATCGAGCTGAAGTGGTTTTGTGAATAAAACAAAAATACAGGACACTTTTAACATGTCACAAACCTAATAGGAACAGTATACTGTGTTACACACAATTCATTTCATCATACAGTATTTTCATGGTCTACTAGACTGTGTTGTAAGAAACTTTCAGTGTACGGTCCACTTAAGAGTCTAACAATGAGTTAACAGATGACACATTGAAATTATAAACAATACTTACCATAAACATAATATTGTTATTTTAAATGTGATTCTTTACATCAACTCAAATGTTATGTAGCCTACATCGAACACTTATAGCCTAACAATGTCACAGATAAGGTAAAAAAAAAATATATATATATACAATTAAAATAAAAGATTGACAAAATAAGGAGAAATCATGGAGGTAATTTGGGATCCACGCTAATCATCTTTTAATTCAACTAAAATTACGGGAAGGTTCTATATCCTCCCACTCAATCACTGGCTAAAGACACACACACACACTGAAAAAGGTCTTGCTCATCAATATTCTCATTGTGTCGTCTTAGGGTTAATTAGCTTTGGTTCTTCGTTAGTTATGGAGGCAGCTAACAAATATGCTAATGCTTAACAGGGTTTTGTGAGGTGACTGGTTATACCACTGAGGAATTCTGACGTTAGCAGTATTAGCAGTTAGAGGGCTGGTTAATGCTAACGTTGGGGATGCTAATGCGGAAGCACATTCTAGAGGAGCTGCTCGCGAACCTTTTAGCGCCCAACATAAGCTATGCAGGGGCTTAGGGGAAGGTTACCTACAGGAGGAGAGTGCCACCAGCTATGAAAAGGCCTACTTTAGCATAACTTTAATTCTTCTAGCTAAATTAGCATTAGCTACAAACTGTGCTAATCATAGTAATTTTATTCCACTGAACGTGTAGGAGCTAGCCTGTTCACAATAGTAACAATAGAAATACTAGGAAAAGTTTAAACTACAAGAGTATCATGCACAGTACCATAAGAGACAAGAAGCTTAAGTATTAGCCCATATTAGCATGCCAATGGATAACGGCTAATTGCTAAAAACAGGGCAACATACCTGGAGAAACCTCTATATTTTCTCCCAACCTTTTTGTATGCTGGCAGCACAACCCCCCTGTGTTAGAGGTTAACTGAGAAAATGGGGGAAGGAGCTCTGAGGAGACAACTTACTTCATCCCAAAATGCTAGCAGAGAGGACGCGGACGAGGACGAGACCGATTCCTTTTTTGGAAGGGTGACACACGAGAGGGACAAAAATAAATAAAAGCACAGGTTTTTCGGGGGTTTATGGGTGTTCTTTTGCAGAACAAGAACACAAGGGGGGCCAGAGTTGACAAGGTCATTCAACAGGGTTTACTGCGAGCACATGCTTTGACCACCGCTTCCAATGGTTTATCCTGTGTCAATTTATGGCCCTGAGAAAATTGAGGGAACTAAGCCAAAAATGGCCCCTTCAACACAAGCAGTTTCCTCTAAACCAACACTGAATCAGGTCTTCTGGGGCCTTTACGCTGACCTAGCGGCTTCAACGCTGACTAATCCCTATTTTTACAACCTTGAGGCAGCTGGGTGGTGAAAAACCCCCAGGTTCACGGTGGCGTTGAGCAGCAAGTTCTTTCGACCACAAAGCCACGTGCACTCGTGGTGTTAAAAGTGAGAAGCAGTTAGCAGCTGATAGACCAAACTATCTTCTCTCTCTCATTAAGTTCAGGTCACGGCAAGCTTTCTTGTCCCTCTACTCACTCCGGTTGTAGTTCCTTTGTGGCCTTGAGCCCTTCTCATAACTTTGGCCCATTAGCAGCAGATCCTGTCCAAACCGTGGTGGCTGCATCAGGTTACCGTGTGCTGATTGGTAAAATAACCCCGATTTATTCTGTGGGGTGGAGGGTCAGGAAGTATGATACTGCTTGCTTCCCCCCTCCACACCTTTGAAGTTCTTTGGGGTGATGAGGTGATTTGAGTACATCAGAGGGCATGGTGATATGAACTCCGGAGCTTGGCACTTTTGCATTTTGAACTGTGTTGGATGCCTGTGTGTACCTCAAATCAGGGTCTCTCTTTTTAAGGATTTCAGTGCGTGTGTGTGTATAAATGTGTGCATGTCTTGTTTATAATTGTGTGACTATGCGAGTGTGACAACAGCGCCAGCCAGCCAGCCAGCCAGCCAGCCAGCCAGCCAGCCAGCCAGCCAGCCAGTCTGTCTGTCTGTCTGCGCGTCTGTTTATGTCTGTGTGTAAGAGTCTGTATTAATTTAACCGCATGGGAGCTGTCTGCAATGCCGTGTGCATTCTGACTTCCTGTCTAGTAGGGTGCCCAGTGGGAAACCAGCCATGCCAAGTCCCCCACCCTCTGAAATATATGTATCAACTCCCACCTGCCTGTCACCACCGATACACACAGAGATGGCGAGACAGTGGCTGTTAAGGTTTGTTACGGACATGTGACGGGGGGACAGAAAGACGTGCAGAGAGACACTCACTCTGAACGTCAGGTCGTGGGCCAGGGGAGAGGTGTTGAAGTACTCGAAAATGGAGTCCTGGAAATCGGGCAGTTTCAGACCTGTGTTTAGAAGACAAGGACAGCCATTTATACTATTCTAAAAGAGGAATACTGTTCATATTAGTACAGTTGAAGGGAAACATGTAACTGACAATACTAGAGAATGAAGTTAAATGTTCTGTTTCTATGTGAGAGGTAATCATTAGTAGTTATGGATGAATGTGTATCTCCAATGATCAAATAAAACCAAACAAACGTTTCGTATCCGTACAACCAACACCAACTATACAACATTTGTATTAGGTAGAGAAACTAACAACCTATTTCTGTACGTTGACATTTGCCAGGGACAGTTGAGGGCAGGGATCATCAACCACATTCAGCCGTGGGCATATTTTTTTCTTGAGCAAATGGTCAGGGGGCCAGAATATAATTACAACTAATTTGTAGACCGCAAACTGACCACAAGAAGTCCAAACAGATACAGTTGAAGTCAGAAGTTTACATACACCTTAGCCAAATACATTTAAACTCAGTTTTTCTCAATTCCTGACATTTAATCCTAGTAAAACATTCCCTGTATGAGGTCAGTTAGGATCACCACTTTACATTTACATTTACATTTTAGTCATTTAGCAGACGCTCTTATCCAGAGCGACTTACAGTTAGTGAATACATTATTTATTTTTTTATACTGGCCCCCCGTGGGAATCGAACCCACAACCCTGGCGTTGCAAACGCCATTCTCTATCAACTGAGCTACATCCCTGCCGGCCATTCCCTCCCCTACCCTGGGCGACGCTGGGCCAATTGTGCGCCGCCCATGAGTCTCCCGGTCGCGGCCGGCTGCGACAGAGCCTGGATTTGAACCAGGATCTCTAGTGGCACAGTTAGCACTGCGATGCAGTGCCTTAGACCACTGCGCCACTCAGAACAATTGTAGAGAGAATTATTTATTTAAGCTTTTATTTCTTTCATCACATTCCCAGTGTGTCAGAAGTTTGCATACACTCAATTAGTATTTGGTAGCACTGCCTTTAAATTGTTTAACTTGGGTCAAACGTTTCGGGTAGCCTTCCACAAGCTTCCCACAATAAGCTGGGTGAATTTTGGCCCATTCCTCCTGACAGAGCTGTAACTGAGTCAGGTTTGTAGGCCTCCTTGCTCGCACACGCTTTTTCAGTTCTGCCCACACATTTTCTATAGGATTGAAGAGTGATGGCCACTCCAATACATTGACTTTGTTGTCCTTAAGCCATTTTGCCAAAACTTTGGAAGTATGCTTGGGGTCATTGTCCATTTGGAAGACCAATTTGCGACCAAGCTTTAACTTCCTAACTGATGTCTTGAGATGTTGCTTCAATATATCCACATCATTTTCCTTCCTCATGATGCCATCTATTTTGTGAAGTGCACCAGTCCCTCCTGCACCAAAGCACCCCCACAGCATGATGCTGCCACCCCCATGCTTCACGGTTGGGTTGGTGTTCTTCGGCTTGCAAGCTTCCCCCTTTTTCCTCCAAACATAATGATTGTCATTATGGCCAAACAGTTCTATTTTTGTTTCATCAGACCAGAGGACATTTCTCCAAAAAGTATGATCTTTGTCCCCATGTGCAGTTGCAAACTGTAGTCTGGCTTTTTTATGGCGGTTTTGGAGCAGTGGCTTCTTCCTTGCTGAGCGGCCTTTCAGGTTATGTCGATATAGGACTCGTTTTACTGTGGATATAGATACTTTTGTACCTGTTTCCTCCAGCATCTTCACAAGGTCCTTTGCTTTTGTTCTGGGATTGATTTGCACTTTTCGCACCAAAGTACGTTAATCTCTAGGAGACAGAACGCGTCTCCTTCCTGAGCGGTATGACGGCTGCGTGGTCCCATGGTGTTTATACTTAAGTACTATTGTTTGTACAGATTAACGTGGTACCTTCAGGCGTTTGGAAATTGCTCCCAAGGATGAACCAGAATTATTTTCCTGAGGTCTTGGCTGATTTATTTTGATTTTCCCATGATGTCAAGCAAAGAGGCACTGAGTTTGAAGGTAGGCCTTGAAATACATCCACAGGTACACCTCCAATTGACTCAAATGATGTCAATTAGCCTATCAGAAGCTTCTAAAGCCATGACATCATTTTCTGGAATTTTCCAAGCTGTTTAAAGGCACAAGTCAACTTAGTGTATGTAAACTTCTGACCGCTGGAATTGTGATACAGTGAATTATAAGTGAAATAATCTGTCTGTAAACAATTGTTGGAAAAATTATTTGTGTCATGCACAAAGTAGATGTCCTAACCGACTTGCCAGAGCTATAGTTTGTTAACAAGAAATTTGCGGAGTGGTTGAAAAACGAGTTTTAATGGCTCCAACGTGTATGTAAACTTCTGACTTCAACTGTATATCTGACTAAAACATAATAATTTCAAACCTGGCTTACATTTGTTTACATATATCTCTCTATTATGCGTGGGAATACTTTTAAAATTACTTCGAGCTGATTAGCTGGTGATTTTACAGTCTTTTATGTGGAATAAAAATGATTTTATATACACACTACCAGTCAAACGTTTGGACACAGCTACTCATTCAAGGGTTGTTTTTTATTTTTACTATTTTTTTAAATTGTAGAATAATAGTGAAGACATCAAAACTATGACATAACACATATGTAATCATGTAAGCAAAAAGTGTTAAACAAATCAAAATATATTTTATATTTGAGATTCTTCAAATGCCACCCTTTGCCTTGATGATAGCTTTGCACACTCTTGGCATTCTCTCAACCAGCTTCACCTGGAATGCTTTTACAACAGTCTTGAACGAGTTCCCACATATGCTGAGCACTTATTGGCTGCTTTTCCTTCACTCTGCGGTCCGACACATCCCAAACCATCTCAGTTGGGTTGAGGTCGGGGGATTGTGGAGGCCAGGTCATCTGATGCAGCACTCCATCACTCTCCTTCTTGGTAAAATAGCCCTTACACAGCCTGGAGGTGTGCTGGGTCATTGTCCTGTTGAAAAACAAATTATAGTCCCACTAAGCCCAAACCAGATGGGATGGCGTATCACTGCAGAATGCTGTGGTAGCCATGCTGGTTAAGTGTGCCTTGAATTCTAAATAAATCACAGACAGTGTCACCAGCAAAGCACCCCCACACCATAACACCTCCTCCTCCATGCTTTACGGTGGGAAATACACATGCAGAGATCATCCGTTCACCCACCCGCGTCTCACAAAGACACCGCGGTTGGAACCAAAAATGCCCAATTTGGATTACAGACCAAAGGACACATTTCCACCGGTCTAATGTCCATTGCTCGTGTTTCTTGGCCCAAGCAGGTCTCTTCTTCTTATTGGTCCTTTAGTTGTGGTTTCTTTGCAGCAATTCGACCATAAAGGCCTGATTCACACAGTCCCCTCTGAACAGTTGATGTTGAGATGTGTCTGTTACTTGAACTCTGTGAAGCATTTATTTGGGCTGCAATTTCTGAGGCTGGTAACTCTAATGAACTTATCCTCTGCAGCTGAGGTAACTCTGGGTCTTCCATTCCTGTGGCAGTCCAAATGAGAGCCAGTGTCATCATAGCGCTTGTTGGTTTTTGCGACTGCACTTGAAGAAACTTTTAAAGTTCTTGAAATTTTCCAGATTGACTGACCTTCATGTCTTAAAGTAATGATGGACTGTCGTTTCTCTTTGATTATTTGAGCTGTTCTTTCCATAATATGGAATTGGTCTTTTACCAAATAGGGCTGTCTTCTGTATACCACCCCTACCTTGTCACAACACAATTGATTGGCTCAAACGCATTAAGGAGGAAAGAAATTCCACAAATTAACTTTTAAAAAGGCACACCTGTTAATTGAAATGCATTACAGGTGACTACCTCATGAAGCTGGTTGAGAGAATGCCATGAGTGTTCAAAGCTGTCATCAAGGCAAAGGGTAGCTATTTGAAGAATCTCAAATATAAAATGTATTTTGATTTGTTTAACACTTTTTTTGGTTACTACATGATGTGTTATTTCATAGTTTTGATGTCTTCACTATTATTCTACAATGTAGAAAAGAGTACAAATAAAGAAAAACCCTTGAATGAGTAGGTGTTCTAAAACTTTTGACCAATAGTGTATATATATTTTTTGTTCAGAAAACTTGGGGGAGGGGGTTCAAATAAAATCATGCCGCGGGCCAAGTTTGGCTCGCGGGCCGCCAGTTGAGGATCCCTGGTTTAGGATAAAACCAGGGTTAAGGCATGGTCGGCCAACCTTTGTCCGAGCGGGAGCGGCTCTCCTCCAAGTCCTTCTTCATGATCTCCAGCTGCTCCGCCATCTCCCTGCTCCTGGACTCTGAATCCTTCAGTTTGCTGTGTGAGAGAGGGTGTGTGTGTCAAGGGGACAGAGGAGTGTGTGTCAAGGGGACAGAGGAGTGTGTGTCAAGGGGACAGAGGAGTGTGTGTCAAGGGGACAGAGGAGTGTGTGTCAAGGGGACAGAGGAGTGTGTGTCAAGGGGACAGAGGAGTGTGTGTCAAGGGGACAGAGAAAAAAAAGTAGGTTATGAGTCATCCTCCTCCTTCTTTCCCATTTGGAAGCCATCTGTCATATCAGTCATGCTCACTTAAAATCAAAATAAAACGTAACCTTTGCATAAATCAGCGTGTAGCTAGCTAGCTAACCTGCACAAGCTCTTTCACGTTTGACCCTTGAGAAGATAGATGTGTCTCCACATCACTTGGGTCAAATGCTAGGGACCAACCGTGTGGGGTGGTGAATGTGAATACTTGTGTATAGGTAATGTGGGGTTAGGGTCAAGGTGTAGGTATGTGGGGTCTGGGTGTAGGTTTGTGGGGTTAGGGTCAGGGTGTAGGTATGTGGGGGTTAGGGTCAGGGTCTAGGTATGTGGGGGTTGGGGTCAGGGTCTAGGTATGTGGGGTCAGGGTCTAGGTATGTGGGGTCAGGGTCTAGGTATGTGGGGTCAGGGTCTAGGTATGTGGGATCAGGGTCTAGGTATGTGGGGTCAGGGTCTAGGTATGTGGGGTCAGGGTCTAGGTATGTGGGGTCAGGGTCTAGGTATGTGGGGTCAGGGTCTAGGTATGTGGGGTTTGGGGTCAGGGTCTAGGTATGTGGGATCAGGGTCTAGGTATGTGGGATCAGGGTCTAGGTATGTGGGCCGTCATTGTAAATAAGAATTTGTTCTTAACTGACTTGCCTTGTTAAATAAAGGTTACATAAAAAATATATATATATATATATATAAAATGTGGGGTTAGGGTCTAGGTATGTGGGGTTAGGGACAGGGTTCAGTTTAAGGTATGTTGATTCTGTGTGTATAGTTGTATAGCGAAACGGTGTTCCTAATGTTTGGTATACTGTGTGTATATACCGTGCCTTCAGAAGGTATTCATACCCCTTGACATATTCCACATTCTGTTGTGTTACAGTCTGAATTAAAAATGGATTAAAAATTGCTTTTCTCACCCATCTACACACAACACCCCATAATAACATAGTGAAAACATGTTTTTAGAAATGTTTCCTAATTGATTGAAAATGAAATACAGAAATACCTCATTTACATAAGTATTCACACACCTGTGAGTCTCTAAGAGGTTTCCACACCTGGATTGTGCAACATTTGCCCATTATTATTTTCAAAATTCTTCAAGCTCTGTCAAATTGGTTGTTGATCATTGCTAGACAACCATTTTCATGTCATGCCATAGATTTTCAACTAGACTTAAGGCAAAACTGTAACTCGGGCCACTCAGGAACATTCACTGTCTTCTTGGTAAGCAACTCCAGTGTTGATTTGGCCTTGTGTTTCAGGTTATTGTCCTGTTGAAAGGATAATTAATTTCCCAGTGTCTGGTGGAAAGCCGACAACCAGGTTTTCCTCTAAGAATTGTCCTGTGTTTAATGCCTTTATGTTGATTTTTTTATCCTGAAAAACTCCCCAGTCCTTAACGATTACATAACATGATGTAGCCACCATGCTTGAAAATATGGAGAGTGGTACTCAAACGATTACAAGCATACCCATAACATGATGCAGCCACCGTGTTTGAAAATATGGAGAGTGATTGTATTTGGTTGTATTTGCCCCAAACGTAACACTTTGTATTTAGGACAAAAGGTGAATTGCTTTGCCACATTTTTTTGCAGTATTACTTTAGTGACTTGTTGCAAAGAGGACACATGTTTTGGAATATTTTTATTCTGTACAGTGTTCCTTTTCACTCTGTCAATTAGGTTAGTATTGTCGAGTAACTACAACGGTGTTGATCCATCCTCAGTTTTCTCCTATCATAGCCATTAAACTCTGCAATTGTTTGCCGGAGCGGTTTCCTTGCTCTCCGGCAACGGAGTTAAGAAGGATGTCTGTATCTTTGTAGTGACTGGGTGTATTGATACACCATCCAAAGTGTAATGAATAACTTCACCATGCTCAAAGGGATATTCAATATCTTTTTTTTCCCCCATCTACCAATAGGTGCCCTTCTTTTCGAGGCATTGGAAAACCTCCCTGGTCTTTGTGGTTGAATCATTGTTTGAAATTCACTGCTCGACTGAGGGAGGTACAGAGATGAGGGAGTCATTCAACAACCATGTTAAACACTATTATTGCACACAGAGTGAGTCCATGCAACTTATTCTGTGATTTGTTAAGCACATTTTTACTCCTGAACTTATTTAGGCTTGCCATAACAAAGGGGTTGAATACTTATTGACTCAAGACATTTCAGATTTTCATTTTTAATTGATTTGTAAGAATTTCAAAAAAAACATCATTCCACTTTGAAATTGAGGTATTGTGTGTAGGCCAGTGACAAAATAATTGCAATTTAATCCATTTAAAATCAGACTAACACAACAAAATGTGGAAAAAGTTGAGGGGTGTGAATACTTTCTAAAGGCACTGTATATTATATATACACAGTGGATATAAAAAGTCTCCCCTGTTAAAATGCCAGGTTTTGTGATGTAAAAGAATGAGATAAAGAGAAATCATGTCTGAACTTTTTCCACCTTTAATGTGACCTATAACGTGAACAATTCAATTGAAAAACAAACTGAAATCTTTGAGAAAAAAAAAAAAAAAAAAAAAAAAAAAAAAAAAAAAACCTCACAATAACCTTAAACTAATACTTTGTTGAAGCACCTTTTGATTTTATTACAGCACTCAGTCTTTTTGGGTAGGAGTCTATTAGCATGGCACATCTTGACGTGGCAATATTTGCCCACTCTTCTTTGCAAAAGCGCTCCAAATCTGTCAGATTGCGAGGACATCTCCTGTGCACAGCCCTCTTCAGATCACCCCAGAGATATTCAATTGGATTCAGGTCTGGGCTCTGGCCGGGCCATTCCAAAACGTTAATCTTCTTCTGGTGAAGCCATGCTTTTGTGGATTTGGATGTGTGCTTTGGGTCGTTGCCGTGCTGAAAGGTGAACTTCCTCTTCATCTTCATCTTTCTAACGGACGCCTGAAGGTTTTGTGCCAAAATTGCCTGGTATTTGGAACTGTTCATAATTCCCTCCACCCTGACTAAGGCTCCGGTTCCAGCTGAAGAAAAACAGCCCCAAAGCATGATGCTGCCACCACCATGCTTTACTGTGGGTGAAGTGCAGTGTTGTTTTTGCGCCAAACATACCTTTTGGAATTATGGCCAAAAAGTTCAACCTTGGTTTCATCAGACCATAACACATTTTCCCACGTGCTTTTGGGGGACTTGATGTTTGTTTTTGCAAACTTCAGCCGGGCTTGGATGTTTTTATTTGTAAGAAAAGGCTTCCGTCTTGCCACCCTACCCCATAGCCCATTCATATGAAGAATACGGGAGATTGTTGTCACATGTAGCACACAGCCAGTACTTGCCAGAAATTCCTGCAGTTCCTTTAATGTTGCTGTAGGCCTCTTGGAAGCCTCCCTGAACAGTTTTCTTCTCAGCTTTTTATAAATTTTGGAGGGACGTCCAGTTCTTGGTAATGTCTCTGTTGTGCCATATTTTCTCCACTTGATGATGACTGTCTTCACTGTGCTCCATGGTATATGTAATGCTTTGGAAATTATTTTGTACCCTTCTCCTGACTGATATCTTTCAACAACGAGATCCCTCTGATGCTTTGGAAGCTCTCTGCGGAACATGGCTTTTGCTCTGAGATGCAACTAAGAAAATGGCAGGCAAATCCTACTAGAACAGCTGAACTTTATTTGTGATTAATCAGAGTCACTTTAAATGATGGCAGGTGTGTAACGACTTCTATTTAACATGAGTTTGAATGTGATTGGTTAATTCTGAACACAGCCACATCCCCAGTTATAAGAGGGTGTGCACACTGATGCAACCAGGTTATTGGAAGGTTTTCATTTTTCATTTTTCCCCCTCGAAGATTTCAGTTTGTTTTTCAATTGAATTGTTCACATTATAGGTCACATTAACAGTGGAAAAAGTTGTGACATGATTTATCTTTGTCTCATTCTTTTACATCACAAAAACCTGGCATTTTAACAGGGGTGTGTAGACTTTTTATATCCACTGTATATACACATACTGCGCTGTGGTTCAAATACCGGTATCCACCGTCCCTACTGTACTCCCACTTACCCGTCTTCCCCTCTGTTTCCAACTGTCTAAACGAAGTGTACAACGTAAAAAAAATATTGTACAATGTAAAAAAAAAAAAAGTAAATAAAAACTAATACAAATACATGATTTTAAAGAATGGTGAAATGTTCTGACCCGAGGGGGGGTCACGGTTGGGGTTGCAGGGGCTGACCTTTCAAAGGAGATGTTGGAGGCCTTGACCTTGCGGAGCTCCTCCTGGACCAGCTGCTTGGCCCGTATCTCGGCGTCCAGGGCCGACTGCAGCTCCAAACGGGCCGACATGTCCAGCTTCTGGCTGCGACGCACCTTCCACAGGGGGTCCTGGGGACGAGAGCGGGATTATTGTATTGTATTCAGGGTGGGGGGGCAGGGATTGACGTGATAACATTAACCAGTGGCCAATTATTGGGTGTGGTCGATTTAAGTCGCTCTGAACATGGGGTGTAAACTGTGCTGGCAACACCAGGAATGGGGTTTGGATTCCTCGATGGGCCACAAATGGGTTAACTGATTCCTGTTAAGAGGTGAGTGGCAACTGGCCGATATGGTTAGTTCCAGTGTGTGTTGAATCTGCTTCTGTAAAAAAGCTAACTGAACATGCCCTCAAGGAAATGGCTGTCCAATCATGTCAGCTAAACCTCAAACACAACCATATCGTCCCGACTCAAATACAATTCAGCAGGTGCAAAAAATATTTGAGATTTCATCCAACTCCACACACGCGATGGATGTATTTTATCGAGCGAATGAGGGAGCCAATGACAAATCGACTTTACAGGAAGCTGGGATGACATTCCGCGGATGCTGGCGGATCGCGTGACATCACGGCCCAACGGGACAGGAAATGAGGCATCATATCCTCTAACCCAGCCCCACTCACTACGCCCCCCCCCATACCTAATACCTACTCCCCCTGACTGAAATATCCAGCCAGTCTCGTATGTTACAGGAGAGAGAGTGTGAGAGAAGAGTGAGTGAGAGAAAAGAGAGAGTGAGAAAGAGCAAGCAAGCAAGCGAGAGAAATGCGAGAGCGAGGAAAGAGAGAGCGAGGAAAGAGAGAGCGAGGAAAGAGAGAGCGAGGAAAGAGAGAGCGAGGGAAGAGAGAGCGAGGGAAGAGAGAGCGAGGGAAGAGAGAGCGAGGGAAGAGAGAGCGAGGAAAGAGAGTGAGGGAAGAGAGAGCGAGGGAAGAGAGAGCGAGGGAAGAGAGTGAGGGAAGAGAGAGCGAGGGAAGAGAGTGAGGGAAGAGAGAGCGAGGGAAGAGAGAGTGAGAGAGAAACGAGAGAGGGGATCCATAGTGCTCTTGTACAGCACAAATGTGGAGCTCTTTGTACTCTTAAGGAGCTCCCTAGCCCCAATCCTAAACTTAACCATTAGGGTGATGGAAGAATATCTGAATATCTATCAGTAGTTAGGGGCAACTTCTACTTACCCCCTCCCCTGAAATGTATTACTAGGTTCTTGGTTCTTGTAAGCAAATGGGAAGCATCTTATAGTATCAGTCTGGTCTGAAACACATGTGGCCCCCTCAAACTCCTCAGATAATTTTCACTCCGAATCCAATTTTGCTTTCTAGGTCTCTGAATGCTTCAAAGCAGTGCCAGTATATTTAAATAGTCACTATCTGGGGACGTCAAACCCACTTTCAAACGGGCCTAAAATATCATGTTAGAATTCAGATCACGCTGGCTATTCCAGGTCATTTTTTCTCAAGAAAATCAAAATCACCAAATCGGTATAAACTGGGCCATATGAGTGACAGACTGACGACTCTATCGGCATGACAGCAGTCCTCTGCCCCGCCTATGGCGGAGCGTCACATCCGCAGGCTGGCTTTGATTGACGGACGCACTCACCCTCTTGTCCCCCACAGCCGAGGGAAAGGGCTTCAGGGGAGGAGTGGCCACTCCTGAGCCTTGCTGGGGGCGGCAGGTTAAAACAGAAGAGCACTCAACTCATGGCACTAAACACACACTTCACCAGAGTACACCAAAACAGCTTTGCGAAGGAAGCAAATGATTGGCAACCAAAATATTTTTCTACAATTTCTCCATCATTGGGGAGTTCAATGCTTTCCCTGCTACTTACCCCCTTTTGTTGCTTGCTTGAGCCATCTAGTACTATGTATGGAATAGGGTACTATTTGGGACAAAGCCATTGGTCAAACGTACTGAACTATGTATAGAATAGGGTACCATTTGGGACAAAGCCATTGGTCAAACGTACTGAACTATGTATAGAATAGGGTACTATTTGAGACAAATACAATGTTACCCCACTCTCAGCAACAACAGCGGGCATAGCCTTTCTCTGCCTGTTGAGCATTATGCTTCCAAAAGTACCCAGACAGACACCAGGAGCTAATATCATTAAGCTAACGCTACTATTGCTAAGTCTGCCGTAAATAGCCCTGTCTAATGGGAATGGATGGAGGGGAGATGACAGGTGTGCCAACGCTACTGCTAACGCTAGCTAAATAGCCCTGCCTAATGAGAATGGATGGAGGGGAGATGACAGGTGTGCCAGCTAGCTAGCTAAGGGAGCGGAGGGAACTGCACTCAAGGTCATATTTGATGTAATATTCCTCTCCCCGTAACCAGGTTAGGGCTGAAAATAAGCGGAAGATGGACTCCCTACACACACAGAAGGAACTATAGAGTTACAGTGAGGGAAAAAAGTATTTGATCCCCTGCTGATTTTGTACGTTTGCCCACTGACAAAGACATGATCAGTCTATAATTTTAATGGTAGGTTTATTTGAACAGTGAGAGACAGAATAACAACAACAAAATCCAGAAAAAAATGCATGTCAAAAATGTTATAAATTGATTTGCATTTTAATGAGGGAAATAAGTATTTGACCCCTCTGCAAAACATGACTTAGTACTTGGTGGCAAAACCCTTGTTGGCAATCACAGAGGTCAGACGTTTCTTGTAGTTGCCCACCAGGTTTGCACACATCTCAGGAGGGATTTTGTCCCACATCTTCTCCAAGTCATTAAGGTTTCGAGGCTGATGTTTGGCAACTCGAACCTTCAGCTCCCTCCACAGATTTTCTATGGGATTAAGGTCTGGAGACTGGCTAGGCCACTCCAGGACCTTAATGTGCTGCTTCTTGAGCCACTCCTTTGTTGCCTTGGCCATGTGTTTTGGGTCATTGTCATGCTGGAATACCCATCCACGACCCATTTTCAATGCCCTGGCTGAGGGAAGGAGGTTCTCACCCAAGATTTTACAGTACATGGCCCCTGTCCATCGTCCCTTTGATGCGGTGAAGTTGTCCTGTCCCCTTAGCAGAAAACCCCCCCAAAGCATAATGTTTCCACCTCCATGTTTGACGGTGGGGATGGTGTTCTTGGGGTCATAGGCAGCATTCCTCCTCCAAACACGGCGAGTTGAATTGATGCCAAAGAGCTCCATTTTGGTCTCATCTGACCACAACACTTTCACCCAGTTCTCCTCTGAATCATTCAGATGTTCACTGGCAAACTTCAGACGGCCCCTGTATATGTGCTTTCTTGAGCAGGGGGACCTTGCGGGCGCTGACAGGATTTCAGTCCTTCACGGCGTAGTGTGTTACCAATTGTTTTCTTGGTGACTATGGTCCCAGCTGCCTTGAGATCATTGACAAGATCCTCCCGTGTAGTTCTGGGCTGATTCCTCACCGTTCTCACGATCATTGCAACTCCACGAGGTGAGATCTTGCATGGAGCCCCAGGTCGAGGGAGATTTACAGTTCTTAGCTGCTACACCGGAAGCGTAACTTTTTGCCGGCGTGGGCAAAGCGCAATCCACTTCATCAAGTGTTCTTGGGCGCTCGGCCGATGTCCAGTGTAGCAGACCTGTTTGGCTGATTCGCTTTTGAGCAAAGTCCATGAATGGGACTCCATTTTCATAACTTGGTCTAGTTATTATATAATTCTATGATACTGCACCACAGCACTAATGAAATGAGTAGACTGGGTGCTGCCTCTACACAGCTTGTGGGGCATAGCCTATGTACAGCTGCTGTCCCCTCAAGTCAGGCACTCGACCTGGATCGCTTCAATATACATCCAGCTGCACTGTGTCAGCGGAGTGTGTGCAATGTAAGCCGGGATAAAAGCAATGTGTTAAGAAGGGGAATATTAGAATCACCACAACAAGGGAAGCACCGTCTGACCTCAGGAGGCTGAAGAAATTTGGCTTGGCACCTAAAATCCTCACAAACTTTCACAGATGCACAATTGAGAGCATCCTGTCGGGCTGTATCACCACCTGGTACGGCAACTGCACCGCCTGCAACTGCAGGGCTCTCCAGAGGGTGGTGCGGTCTGCCGAACGCATTATCGGGGGCAAACTACCCACCCTCCAAGACACATACAGCACCCGATGTCACAGGAAGGCCAAAAAATCCAAAAATATCATCAAGGACTTCAACCACCCAAGCCACTGCCTGTTCACCCCGCTATCATCCAGAAGGCGAGGTCAGTACAGGTGCATCAAAGCTGGGACCGAGAGAATGAAAAATAGCTTCTATCTCAAGGCCATCAGACTGTTAAATAGCCATCACTAGCACATTAGAGGCTGCTGCTGCCTATTGAAATCACTGGCCACTTTAAGAAATGGAACACTAGTCACTTTAATAATGTTTACATATCTTGCGCTACTCATCTCATATGTATATACTGCATTCTATTCTATAATATTCTACTATATCTTAGTCCATGCTGCTCTGTCATTGCTTGTCCATTTATGTAAATTTTCTTAAATTCCATTCCTTACTAGTTTTGTGTGTATTAGGTATATGTTGTGAAATTGTTAGATATTACTTGTTAGATATTGCTGCACTGTCGGAGCTAGAAGCACAAGCATTTCGCTACACCCGCTATTAACGTCTGCTAAACACGTGTATGTGACAAATAACATCTGATTTGATTTGAAGTACTGAAATTCCCCTGCGCTCAGACCTGGGGGCCTAATTTGACAGTTGGAATCCCTTGATACTAACACATACACACCTCGGAGGGGATGGGTTTGCGTGTGTTTGTGGGATTAGTATACGTTTAAGTGTGTGTGTGTGTATGTATCTTACCAGGGGTCGGGGGCCCAGGCTGGAGCTGCGGAGTGACTCCAGCTCCTCGGTCATCTTGGAGGCAAGGGCCTGCAGGTAGCCGCGGGCGTCCTTCTCGTCGCTCACCCTACGGGGTCACACACACACAACAGTTTAGGAAAAGGTTTCTGAAGCATCTATACAGACCTTACACAGCTCATATTCATTAGGGCACACCACGGGAAAGGAAAACGAGCTATCCCATTGGACAAGGCCTCCGGCCCTGTATAGCTAGCTGCCTTTGCACTGACCACTGGATGATCTCAGCGATCTGGGCCTCCCAGTGAGCCACGCTCTCCTTCTTAGAGGCCAAGTCCTGCAGCTCGTCCTCCAGCTGGCGGTTCTGAGCGGTCAGCTTGTCCACAAACGTACACAGCTGAGAGAGAGAGAGAGAGAGAGAGAGAGAGAGAGAGAGAGAGAGAGAGAGAGAGGGCAGAGGGTCATAGGGAGGGGGGGAAAGAGAGAGAGAGAGATTGATTAAGAGTCCATTCGCACCACCCGTCTTTCTACCCATGTGTGGTCCTTACCCTGTCAGTCTCTGCGGTCAGCTTGCGGTTGTCCTCGGTCAGCATGCTGCGCTCACGCTCGTACTTGTCCTTTAGAGCGCCCACTGCCTCGTCCATCTCGGTTTGTCTGCACACACACACACACAAAGAATGAGATCTCAAGTAAACAAGTTCAAACAATAACACGGGCACCCCGCCACCTTTTTGGGTAAACAGCTTAAGGATGGGGCAGGAGAAAGGTAGCCACTCTTTAATTCATAGACGGTTCATGGATGAGAGGACTGACCATCCATGAGATGAAAATGAGTTTTAACCAATGGAGTAAAACCAGCTTTATTTTGGGTTCTGATGGGGAACGATAGTTGAACTAAAGCTCATGAGGCATTTATAAGTTATATTCTTCAAGAATCAAATTGGAATTCATCATTAATTCTAAAGTCCAAAAATGGATGTAGCAATCGCAGATTTCCAGTTTAATGTAGAAATGTAAAGGTTTGGACAATTTTCTCAAGAAAAGCTTGCCCTAATCTTAAAGAGATACTCATACCTGACCCCATACCTCAAGTCTTCTAATATTAGGTAGCTTCTGCATTTTTACTTTAGCCACATAGTGGATACTAGCCTAACCCACCTCTCAATCTCGGCAAAGCCTAAACCTGTCCTATCCCAAACCCACCTCTCTCTCTTGGCTTTCTCCAGCTTGTCCTTGAGCATGAGCAGCTCCTTGTGGAGGGAGAGCTGCTGACCCTCAGAGTCGTGGAGCTCCTTCCGGAGGCCCTTGAGCTCGCTGGTGTGGGAGGCCTCGCGACGCACCAGCTCCTCCTCGTAGAACAGTACCTTCTTGTCCAGCTCCGACTTCACCTTGGACAGCTCCTGCTGCAGCTCTGGACTGCTGCCTCCGGCCCCACGACCGCTGCCCTGCTGCTTCACCTGGGGGAAAGACAGAGACTTTTCTTTCTATCGCTTTTTTTACAATTGTGTTTTTTAAATCACGAGAGTTCGAATGGCCTCAAATTGAAAATAAACTGAAAACTTGCAACATGAAAGAGAAGGTGAGAGAGAAATGACTAACTTGAAAACGAGACGAGGAGGGAGCGGGGAGAAAAATAAATAAACAATGTACATGACATTTAGCCCCAAAAGTAAAAATATAGGATATTATTATTATACGTAAACAGTTAACTAATCCTGATGCAGAGGAAAGCGGTATAGAATAACAGGAGTACATCACAGGAGAGAGGAGACTGAAGTGTAACGCAAGTCAAATAATGTTGAATACTTATCGTTACTAGTGAGATTCCAATCATATATTATTTAACTAGGCAAGTCAGTTAAGAACAAATTCTTATTTACAATGACGGCCTACACCGGCCAAACCCGGACGACGCTGGGCCAATTGTGCGCCGCCCTATGGGACTTCCAATCACGGCCGGTTGTGATACAGCCTGGAATCGAACCAGGGGGTCTGTAGTGACGCCTCTAGCACTGAGATGCAGTGCCTTAGACCGCTGAGATGCAGTGCCTTAGACCGCTGCACCACTCGGGAGCATATTGTGATAGGTTTAAAAGTTGACAGCTATTACAAATGAGTTGTCAGAAGCTGCATGACGAGCAGTTTATTTTGTGCCAATCAAAACTCAATATTCTTAGTCCCTCTCATTTTACATTTTTACGTTTTAGTCATTTAGCAGACGCTCTTATCCAGAGCAAATTTACAGTTAGTGAGTGCATACATTATTATAATTTTTTCATACTGGCCCCCCGTGGGAATCGAACCCACAACCCTGGCATTGCAAACGCCATGCTCTACCAACTGAGCTACATCCCTGCCGGCCATTCCCTCCCCTCCCCTGGACGACGCTGTGCCAATTGTGCGCCACCCCATGGGTCTCCTGGTCACGGCCGGCTACGACAGAGCCTGGATTCAAACCAGGATCTCTAGTGGCACAGCCTTAGACATTTTTACATTTTACATTTTACGTCATTTAGCAGACGCTCTTATCCAGAGCGACTTAGCGCATACATTATTCTTTTTTTATTTTCATACTGGCCCCCCGTGGGAATCGAACCCACAACCCTGGCGTTGCAAACGCCATGCTCTACCAACTGAGCTACCTCCCTGCCGGCCATTCCCTCCCCTACCCTGGACGACGCTGGGCCAATTGTGCGCCGCGCCCCATTGGTCTCCCGGTTGCGGCCGGCTACTGCAGAGCCTGGATTCGAACCAGGATCTCTAGTGGCACAGCTAGCACTGCGATGCAGTGCCTTAGACCACTGTGCCACTCGTTCTGCAGGAGCTAGAATGCAAAGTGAAGAGCTACCGCCATTCTATGGAAGAAAAACGAAGTTTCAAATCGTCGTGAGGAGTTGTATAAAACGGAACTAAAAAGAGAAAACTGGATATTAACACTCACTTATCTATCCGAAAGAGCTGTGAAGGGTTTGAGGGAAAGATTGACGCCAGGATTTGGTGAGCTTTCATAAGGAGAACGATTAGGCTAGCTAAGCTATTGCTAGCATTTTGTGCGTGTTCACACGGAACCAAGCATCCGCACAAGCCGTTAACATTTAGGCTAGCTAAGCTATCGATCAATTGAAATAGCAAACGTTAGTGATCATGCTAATCATGCATGGCAAACTATTTTAGTTTTCATATTTTTTATAAAATGTGATCAGCTATTATCAAAAATCCATTTTGGTACACAGTTATGTTTTAGATTACTTTACAAGAAATGGTGTACAGGTGTAAGCACTAGTACTTTGCATTGGCCAGGCTAGTGTATTGTTTAGTTCATGTGAGCCTGGTGCTGTAGTTAAAGTGTAAAGCATTTTGACTAAGTTTTATTTTCTTATTCCTGTAAGAGATTAAAGCTGAGAGCTATATTAATGTTTATATGAAAGGTATTCATGGTATATATATTGTGTGATCCTGTTTGTAAAAACAGGTCTTTTTTTTTTATTGATTCAGTTCCACCAAGGATGGCGAGCCGCCCGAACCCAGGACATCCGTAAGAAGATTTGCATGCAAAGATGTATTTTTCCTTTTCCATGGAGGACAATGAATTTGCACTGCCATACAACAGGGTGTGGTAGGATTCTTTGTTGCAAGACATCATAGCACCATACCTTGCAGTGGGACTGTCATAAGCACATACCACATTTAAACACCGTACAGTGTTTATTGATATGCACACTCACTCACATTTGATTCCATCTCATAGTGGTTTATAAGTCAGTATTTGTGAATATTTGTGTTTTTCTGTGGATTCATGTTTATTGTATTTGTATTGAACATTGAAAGCTGAGATACCCTCAGATTAAAATAGAGTTGGGTGCACCCTAGTAAACTATAGGTGGGATATATGGCCGATATCTGAGTCTATTGTACTGTTGTTGTATTGAATTCATACTGAGTTCATTGTACACATTTCACATATCAATATTTACTCAAGGTGATTCTTTTTTGTACTAATTTATATTTACAAAATACAAGCCGGCATTATTTTCCTAAATGATTCATTGTACGCTGATGATTCATGTTTTCTTTTAAATCCACAACTTGAATCCCTCCACAGCCTCATAAGAGGATCTAGATACATTTTCTAACCTCTCTGGATTACAACCAAATTATGATAAATGTACTAGATTACGTATTGGATCACTAAAAATACAACTTTTACATTTCCGTGTAGTTTACCAATAAAATGGTCTGATGGTGATGTGTATATACTCGGAATACATATCCCAAAATAAATAAATGATCTCACTCCAAAAATGTTTAATAGAAAGTTAGCAAAAATAGATAAGATCTTGCTACCATGGAAAGGTAAATACCTGTCTATTTGTGGAAAAACCACCCTGTATCCCAGTGTACCTATTTGCTTATGGTCTTGCCTACGCATAGCAAACATTTGTTTAAATTACATGAGAAAACAATATTCCATTTTATTTGGAACGGCAAGCCAGACAAATTTAAACGGGCCTATTTATATAATGAATATGAATTTGGAGGACAGAAATTATTAAATATTAAAGCATTAGACATAACACTAAAAGCTTCAGTCATACAAAAATTATACTTAAATCCGAACCGGTTCTCTAGCAAATTAGTAAGATTGTCTCACCCCATGTTCAAGAATGGCCTTTTTCCCTTTATTCAAATTACAACCTCTCACTTTCAGTTATTTGAAAAGGAAATAATCTCCCAAATATCACTATTTCTAAAACAACCCATAGAAAGTTGGTTGCAATTTCAATTTAATCCTCCAGAAACGACAGAACAAATAATGCAACAAATACTGTGGTTAAACTCAAATATACTAATTGATAAAAAAAACATTTTTTGATTTAAAAAAATGATATTATAGGTAGGACTGGTGGAGTTATGTCGCACATGCGGCTAACAAAAACATATGGAAATGTCAGCTCTACCCAAAATTACAACCAAATAATTGCAGCATTACCGCAAAAATGGAAGAGGAAAGTGGAAGGGGGAAAAAGTAAGGAACTTGTCTGTCGGCCCTGCATTAAAGACCATAATTGGTTAAAGAAAATTGTGATAAATAAAAAAGTACACCAGTTTCATTTAAGGACCAAAGGATTGACAGCCGTCCCATATAGATTGCAAAATAGTTGGGAAGAGATTTTTGACGTACCGATTTCATGGCAAATTGTTTATGAACTGATACGCAAAACAACACCGGATTCAAAAATTAGAATCTTTCAATTTAAATTATTATATAAAATTCTTGCTACCAATAGAATGTTATTTATATGGGGGATACAATCTAACCAGCTCTGCAGATTTTGCTGCGAAGAGACAGAATCATTAGATCATTTGTTTTGGTACTGCCCATTTGTAGCTTGTTTTTGGTCACAGGTCCAGGAATGGCTGAATGATTGAAATACAGTGGTGAGAACAAGTATTTGATACACTGCCGATTTTGCAGGTTTTCCTACTTACAAAGCATGTAGAGGTCTGTAATTTTTATCATAGGTACACTTCAACTGTGAGAGACGGATTCTAAAACAAAAATCCAGAAAATCACATTGTATGATTTTTAAGTCATTAATTTGCATTTTATTGCGTGACATAAGTATTTGATCACCTACCAACCAGTAAGAATTCCGGCTCTCACAGACCTGTTAGTTTTTCTTTAAGAAGCCCTCCTATTCTCCACTCATTACCTGTGTTAACTGCACCTGTTTGAACTCGTTACCTGTATAAAAGACACCTGTCCACACACTCAATCAAACAGACTCCAACCTCTCCACAATGGCCAAGACCAGAGAGCTGTGTAAGGACGTCAGGGATACAATTGTAGACCTGCACAAGGCTGGGATGGGCTACAGGACAAATGGCAAGCAGCTTGGTGAGAAGGCAACAACTGTTGGCGCAATTATTAGAAAATGGAAGAAGTTAAAGATGACGGTCAATCACCCTCGGTCTGGGGCTCCATGCAAGATCTCACCTCGTGGGCATCAATGGGGCATCAATGATCATGAGGAAGGTGAGGGATCAGCCCAGAACTACACGGCAGGACCTGGTCAATGACCTGAAGAGAGCTGGGACCACAGTCTCAAAGAAAACCATTAGTAACACACTACGCCGTCATGGATTAAAATCCTGCAGTGCACGCAAGGTCCCCCTGCTCAAGCCAGCGCATGTCCAGGCCCGTCTGAAGTTTGCCAATGACCATCTGGATGATCCAGAGGAGGAATGGGAGAAGGTCATGTGGTCTGATGAGACAAAAATAGAGCTTTTTGGTCTAAACTCCACTCGCCGTGTTCGGAGGAAGAAGAAGGATGAGTACAACCCCAAGAACACCATCCCAACCGTGAAGCATGGAGGTAGAAACATCATTCTTTGGGGATGCTTTTCTGCAAAGGGGACAGGACGACTGCCCCGTATTGAGGGGAGGATGGATGGGGCCATGTATCGCGAGATCTTGGCCAACAACCTCCTTCCCTCAGTAAGAGCATTGAAGATGGGTCGTGCCTAGGGATGTTCGAGAAAGAGAAAACTATAGCAGGAAAGGAGTGGAGACTACGTAAGAGAGGATCAGGTTGGAGTATCTATAGGCAGGGCTCAGACGAAAATGAAATACTAGTAGGAGGGAGGAGGATGACTACGAACTGAGTGGAGAGAGGGTACTGTAGGGAGGAGTGGGAAAATCACTGTAGAGGAGGATGGCAAGATCCTACGTAGAGAGATGAGATTACTGTAGAGGATGAAAGGTTGTACCAAAATTAGAGTCGGTTGAGTATATATACTAGTAGAGAGATGGAAATTATATACTAGTAGAAGGAGGGTTGGAGAATACTAGTAGAGAGGGTTGGAGATGTACCTAGTAGAGGAGGAGGAGAACTAGTGAGAAGAGTTACTAGTAGAGGATAGGAATATACTAATAGAGAGGGTGGAGATATACTATGTAGGGCGGGACTGATACTAGTAGAGGATGGGTGGAATTATACTAGTAGAGGAGGAGGAGATATACTAGTAGAGGAGGGTGGATATATACTAGTAGAGGAGGAGGAGATATACTAGTAGAGGAGGGAGGAGATATACTAGTAGAGGAGGGGGGAGAATATACTAGTAGAGGAGGAGGAGATATACTAGTAGAGGAGGAGGAGGAGATATTACTAGTAGAGGAGGAGTGGATATACTAGTAGAGGAGGAGGAGATATACTAGTAGAGGAGGGTGGATATATACTAGTAGAGGAGGAGGATATATACTAAGTAGAGGAGGGTGGAGATATACTAGTAGAGGAGGAGGGAGATAATTAGTAGAGGAGGGTGGAAGGAATGGGAGGGTAGTATCAGTAGAGGAGGGTGGAGATATACTAGTAGAGGAGGGTGGAGATATACTAGTAGAGGAGGGTGGAATATACTAGTAGAGGAGAGAAGGAAGAGATATACTAGTAGAGGAGGGGGATATACTATAGTAGAGGAGGGGGAGATATACTAGTAGAGGAGGAGGAGATATACTAGTAGAGGAGGGTGGAATATACTAGTAGAGGAGGAGGAGATATACTAGTAGAGGAGGGTGGATATATACTAGTAGAGGGAGGGTAGAGGGAGAGATATACTAGTAGAGGAGGATGAGAATATACTAGTAGAGGAGGAGGAGATATACTAGTAGAGGAGAGAGGAGATATACTAGTAGAGGAGGGTGGATATACTATAGAGGAGGGAGAAGGAGGAGGTGATTATACTAGTAGAGGAGGGATGGATATACTATAGAGGAGGAGTGAGATATACTAGTAGAGGAGGGTGGAGATATATATAGTAGAGGAGGGTGGAATATTACTAGTAGGAGAGGAGAATATAGGAGGAGAGGAATATACTAGTAGAGGAGGAGGAGGATATACTAGTAGAGGAGGAGGAGATATACTAGTAGAGGAGGGGTGGAGGAGGATATACTAGTAGAGGAGGAGGAGATATACTAGTAGAGGAGGGTGGAGATATACTAGTAGAGGAGGAGGAGAGGAGATTATATAGTAGAGGAGGGTGGAGATTATACTAGTAGAGGGAGGGGGAGATATACTAGTAGAGGAGGGTGGAGATTATACTAGTAGAGGAGGGGTGGAGATATACTAGTAGAGGGAGGGTGGAGATATACTAGTAGAGGAGGAGGAGATATACTAGTAGAGGAGGGTGGAGGATTATAGTAGAGGAGGAGGAGATATACTAGTAGAGGAGGGTGGAGATATACTAGTAGAGCAGGAGGAGATTATTACTAGTAGAGGAGGGTGGAGATATACTGTAGAGGAGGTGGAGATATACTAGTAGAGAGGAGGATGGAGATTAACTAGTAGAGGAGGGGAGATATATAGTAGAGGAGGGTGGAGATATACTAGTAGAGGAGGGGGAGGAGAATATATAGTAGAGGAGGGTGAGAGATATACTAGTAGAGGAGGAGGGAGATAACTAGTAGAGGAGGGTGGGTATTACTAGTAGAGAGGAAAGAGGAGATATACTAGTAGAGGAGGGGGAGATTATACTAGTAGAGGGTGGAGATATACTAGTAGAGGAGGGTGGGAGGATATGGGGAGGGGGATGTGGGGGAGATATACTAGTAGAGGAGGGTGGAGATATACTAGTAGAGGAGGGTGGAGATATGAGGCGTGGGAGTAGAGAGGGTGGAGATATACTAGTAGAGGAGGAGGAGATATACTAGTAGAGGAGGAGTGGAGGGAGATATACTAGTAGAGGAGGAGGAGATATACTAATAGAGGAGGGTGGAGATATACTAGTAGAGGAGGGGGAGAATGAGTGAGGAGGGTGGAGATATACTAGTAGAGGCAGGAGGAGATATACTGTAGAGAGGGTGGAGAAGTGGGGTGGAGATATACTAGTAGAGGAGGAGGAGATATACTAGTAGAGGAGGGGAGATATACTAGTAGAGGAGGAGGAGATATACTAGTAGAGGAGGGTGGAGATATACTAGTAGAGGAGGAGGAGATATACTAGTAGGAGGGGGGTTGTGAGAGAGAGATATAATAGAGGAGGGTGGAGATATACTAGTAGAGGAGGGTGGAGATATACTAGTAGAGGAGGGTGGAGATATACTAGTAGAGGAGGGTGGGAGATATACTAGTAGAGGAGGGAGGAGAAGGAGATATACTAGTAGAGGAGGAGGAGATATACTAGTAGAGGAGGGAGGAGATAGGAGATACTAACTAGAGAGGGGTGGAGATATACTAGTAGGAGGGTGGGAATGTGGAGAGAGGAATTTGGGAAGGGTTATGTAGAGGAGGAGGATAACTAAGTAGAGGAGGAGGAGATATACTAGTAGAGGGAGGGTGGGGGAGATATACTAGTAGAGGAGGAGGAGATATACTAGTAGAGGAGGGTGGAGAAAGGAATGGGGAGATATACTAGTAGAGGAGGGTGGAGATATACTAGTAGAGGAGGGTGGAGATATACTAGTAGAGGAGGGGGAGATATACTAGTAGAGGAGGGGGAGATATACTAGTAGAGGAGGGTGGAGATATACTAGTAGAGGAGGAGGAGATATACTAGTAGAGGAGGAGGATATATACTAGTAGAGGAGGGGAGATATACTAGTAGAGGAGGGTGGATATACTAGTAGAGGAGGGTGGATATACTAGTAGAGGAGGGTGGAGATATACTAGTAGAGGAGGGTGGAGATATACTAGTAGAGGAGGAGGAGATATACTAGTAGAGGAGGGTGGAGATATACTAGTAGAGGAGGAGGAGATATACTAGTAGAGGAGGGTGGAGATATACTAGTAGAGGAGGGTGGATATATACTAGTAGAGGAGGGTGGATATATACTAGTAGAGGAGGAGGAGATATACTAGTAGAGGAGGGTGGATATATACTAGTAGAGGAGGAGGAGATATACTAGTAGAGGAGGAGGAGATATACTAGTAGAGGAGGAGGAGATATACTAGTAGAGGAGGAGGAGATATACTAGTAGAGGAGGAGGAGGAGATATACTAGTAGAGGAGGAGATATACTAGTAGAGGAGGAGGAGATATACTAGTAGAGGAGGAGATATACTAGTAGAGGAGGAGGAGATATACTAGTAGAGGAGGAGGAGATATACTAGTAGAGGAGGGTGGAGATATACTAGTAGAGGAGGGTGGAGATATACTAGTAGAGGAGGGTGGAGAGAGGAAAGAGGAGGATGAAGATTAGAAAGGTGAATGAGGAGGGTGGAGAGAAGAGAGGAGGATGAGCGGAGAGAAGAGAGGAAGATGGGAGAGGAGAGAGGAGGGTGGAGAGAAGAGTGGAAGATGGAGAAAGGAGAGAAGAAGATGGAGAAAGGAGAGAAGAGAGGAGGATGGAGAGAGGAGAGGATGGAGAGAGGTAGAGGAGGATACAGAGGGGAGAGGAGACAGGTAGAGGACGATGGAGAGGGGAGAGGAGAGAGAACTGGAAGATGAGTAGGAAAGTAGTGTGTTTGTGTGTGTGTGTGTGACCTCTGACCTTGAGGGTCTCAAGCTCCATCTCCAGCTGTTTAGAATAGACCTCGCTGTGGTCGCGCAGCTTTCGCTCCTTAGACGCCTCCGCCTTGGCATCCTCCAACTGGGCCTCCAACTAACACACAAACACGTGGACACAAAGCAGAGGTTAACATCACACACACTACAGTTTCCTATCCCTTTACCAGAATAGATTGACCCATACATATAACACGTTCTCTCTCTCAAACACAAACATTCATGAGCATGTATTGTGTCAATGTGTGTACTGCCATTATGCGTTCCAGTATTGCGTATATGAATTAACAGTGTTGGGGGGTGGTGAGGAGATGACATAGGCTTATCACCCTGCCACCATTGACCCCCTCTCTTTTCCTTTACAAAAGTCCCCACCCCTGGCCCCATGCACTTTAGCTGGGGTCACCAACAACCATCTGGACCCTGTTAGCGCTTAGCTCTGGGGAAGGATAGAGGAGGGTGTGGGGTTGTAGGCCTAGGGTGCATCTCAATAGTCTAAAGTGGCCTCCATTGCTTGTCTCCTCTCCCTCATTTGCACTAATCTGAACACTAGGGCTAGGTAAAGACAATATGGAGAACGCCTACTAGGAATTTGTGTTCAACTGCCTAGTTCTCCAATGTCAGTGCAGGTGGAGGAAAGGACACTACTTTTAGACTACTGAGATGCAGCCCTGGCTTGTTTTGGCTGTGTGTGTTGTGTTTCCTCGCCCCTAAGGGGAGCTGTTGAGGACACCCCAAGCAGCGCATTCCTCTGTCGCCAATGCAGACAGCACAAGACAGGCGAGGCCCTCAAGGGAATACTGGCATTCAGATTGAGAAATGAATGAATAGATAACAAGCCGATGATAAAGAGTGGTTGTTTTGTGCTTTCTGAATGACAGGAGAAGCCGTGGCACCAGAACTGGTTGTGTGTTGAGGTTGAAAGTCTGGTATTGTTGTACATACAGTTGAAGACGGAAGTTTACATACACCTTAGCAAAATACATTTAAACTCTGTTTTTCACAATTCCTGACATTTAATCCTAGTAAGAATTCCCTGTCTTAGGTCAGTTAGGATCACCACTTTATTTTAAGAATGTGACATTTCAGAATAATAGTAGAGAGAATGATTTATTTCAGCTTTTATTTCTTTCATCACATTCCCAGTGGGTCAGAAGTTTACATACACTCAATTAGTATTTGGTAGCATTGCCTTTAAATTGTTTAACTTGGGTCAAACGCGTCGGGTAGCCTTCCACAAGCTTCCCACAATAAATTGGGTGAATTTTGGCCCATTCCTCCTGACAGAGCTGGTGTAACTGAGTCAGGTTTGTAGGCCTCCTTGCTCGTACACGCTTTTTCAGTTCTGCCCACACATTTTCTATAGGATTGAGGTCAGGGCTTTGTGATGGCCACTCCAATACCTTGACTTTGTTGTCCTTAAGCCATTTTGCCACAACTTTGGAAGTATGCTTGGGGTCATTGTCCATTTGGAAGACCCATTTGCGACCAAGCTTTAACTTCCTAACTGATGTCTTGAGATGTTGCTTCAATATATCCACATCATTTTCCTTCCTCGTGATGCAATCTATTTTGTGAAGTGCACCAGTCCCTCCTGCAGCAAAGCACCCTCACAGCATGATGCTGCCACCCCCGTGCTTCACGGTTGGGATGGTGTTCTTCGGCTTGCAAGCGTCCCCCTTTTTCCTCCAAACATAACGATGGTCATTATGGCCAAACAGTTCTATTTTTGTTTAATCAGACCAGAGGACATTTCCCCAAAAAGTACTATCTTTGTCCCCATGTGCAGGTGCAAACCGTAGTCTGGCTTTTTTATGGCAGTTTTGGAGCAGTGGCTTCTTCCTTGCTGCGCGGCCTTTCAGGTTATGTCAATATAGGATTCGTTTTACTGTGGATATAGATACCTTTGTATCCGTTTCCTCCAGCATCTTCACAAGGTCAATTGCTGTTGTTCTGGGATTGATTTGCACTTTTCACACCAAAGTACGTTCATCTCTAGGAGACAGAACGCGTCTCCTTCCTGAGCAGTATGACGGCCGCGTGGTTCCATGGTATTCATACTTAATGGAAACTGGTATTCATACATATTGGAAACTGCGCCCAAGGATGAACCAGAATTTGTTTTCTGAGGTCTTGGCTGATTTCTTTTGATTTTCCCATGATGTCAAGCAAAGAGGCACTGAGTTTGAAGGTAGGCCTTGAAATACATCCACAGGTACACCTCCAATTTCTCAAATGATGTCAATTAGCCTATCAGAAGCTTCTAAAGCCATGACATAATTTTCTGGAATTTTCCAAGCTGTTTAAAGTCAACTTAGTGCATGTAAACTTCTGACCCACTGGAATTGTGATAAAGTGAATTATAAGTTAAATAATCTGTCTGTAAACAATTATTATTTGTGTCATGCACAAAGTAGATGTCCTAACTGACTTGCCAAAACTATAGTTTGTTAACAAGACATTTGTGGAGTGGCTGAAAAATGAGTTTTAATGACTCCAACCTAAGTGTATGTAAACTTCCGACTTCAACAATACATAGACATACAGTGATGGAGAAAAGTATTTGATCCCCTGCTGATTTTGTACGTTTGCCCACTGACCAAGACATGATCAGTCTATAATTTTAATGGTAGGTTTATTTGAACAGTGAGAGACAGAAAAATCCAGAAAAATGCATGTCAAAAATGTTATAAATTCATTTGCATTTTAATGAGGGAAATAAGTATTTGACCCCTCTGCAAAACATGACTTAGTACTTGGTGGCAAAACCCTTGTTGGCAATCACAGAGGTCAGACGTTTCTTGTAGCTGGCCACCAGGTTTGCACACATCTCAGGAGGGATTTTGTCCCACTCCTCTTTGCAGATCTTCTCCAAGTCATTAAGGTTTCGAGGCTGACGTTTGGCAACTCAAACCTTCAGCTCCCTCCACAGATTTTCTATGGGATTAAGGTCTGGAGACTGGCTAGGCCACTCCAGGACCTTAATGTGCTTCTTCTTGAGCCACTCCTTTGTTGCCTTGGCCGTGTGTTTTGGGTCATTGTCATAAATGTCATGCTGGAATACCCATCCATGACCCATTTTCAATGCCCTGGCTGAGGGAAGGAGGTTCTCAACCAAGATTTGACGGTACATGGCCCCGTCCATCGTCCCTTTGATGCGGTGACGTTGTCCTGTCCCCTTAGCAGAAAAACACCCCCAAAGCATAATGTTTCCACCTCCATGTTTGACGGTGGGGATGGTGTTCTTGGGGTCATAGGCAGCATTCCTCCTCCTCCAAAAACGGCGAGTTGAGTTGATGCCAAAGAGCTCCATTTTGGTCTCATCTGACCACAACACTTTCACCTAGTTCTCCTCTGAATCATTCAGATGTTCATTGGCAAACTTCAGACGGGCCTGTATATGTGCTTTCTTGAGCAGGGGGACCTTGTGGGCGCTGCAGGATTTCAGTCCTTCACGGCGTAGTGTGTTACCAATTGTTTTCTTGGTGACTATGGTCACAGCTGCCTTGAGATCATTGACAAGATCCTCCCGTGTAGTTCTGGGCTGATTCCTCACCGTTCTCATGATCATTGCAACTCCACGAGGTGAGATCTTGCATGGAGCCCCAGGCCGAGGGAGATTGACAGTTATTTTATGTTTCTTCCATTTGCGATTAATCACACCAACTGTTGTCACCTTCTCACCAAGCTGCTTGGCGATGGTCTTGTAGCCCATTCCAGCCTTGTGTAGGTCTACAATCTTGTCCCTGACATCCTTGGAGAGCTCTTTGGTCTTGGCCATGGTGGAGAGTTTGGAATCTGATTGATTGATTGCTTCTGTGGATTGGTGTCTTTTATACAGGTAACAAGCTGAGATTAGGAGCACTCCCTTTAAGAGTGTGCTCCTAATCTCAGCTCGATACCTGTATAAAAAGACACCTGGGAGCCAGAAATCTTTCTGATTGAGAGGGGGTCAAATACTTATTTCCCTCATTAAAATGCAAATCAATTTATAACATTTTCTACATGCTTTTTCTGGATTTTTTTGTTGTTATTCTGTCTCTCACTGTTCAAATAAACCTACCATTAAAATTATAGACTGATCATTTCTTTGTCAGTGGGCAAACGTACAAAATCAGCAGGGAATCAAATACTTTTTTCCCCTCACTGTACATAGACATACAGGCAGGCACACACACACACACACATAATAATACACATATGCCCTCATCACAGAAAGCTAAACGCTACGCTCTGCTAGTCAACTTTTACAACTCACCTCCTTGCGGGCCTTCTCGGTCTTGCGGATGTCCTGGCGCATGGCGTCGACCTTCTGCACAGCAGCGTCCATCTCCTCCTCCTTGTCGCGGAGCTGGCGTGAGAGGCGTTGCTTGGTGGAGCGCAGCTCGGCCATGCGCTCGCTCAGCTCAGAGAACTCCTGCAGGGCCAGTTTCCGCTGGCTGTGGGCCTCCTTCAGCTCCTTGGTCTGGGACTTGAGGCGCTCCAGGGACTCCACCAGTTGCTGTTGGGGGAGGGAAGGAGAGGGAGGTGGGGAGAGAGAGGGAGGGGGGGGGGGGAAGGAGAGAGAGGTGGTGGGAGAGAGAGGGGGGGGGGGCAAGCGAGATGGCGTAATGGAGAGAGAGAGAAAAAAAGAGTTGGGAGAGAGAAAGGAGGGAGGGTGAGGGAGGGAGGGAGGAAGGGTGAGGGAGGGAGAGAGAGAGCAGCAAAATAAAAGAGAGCAGAGGAGGCACGATAGATGGGGAGAGGGAAAGAGCCAGACAGAATGACAGGCGTGGAGATGAAAATGAAAGGGAGAGAGAACGTGTGTGAGAGAAAGGAGGACAGCAAGAGTGACAGAAAGAGAGGAGGGGAGGAGGGAGGAATGAGGAGAGAAAGAAAAGAAAACAATCAGTGAACCACCAATCAGTGAACCACCAATCAGTGAACCACCAATCAGTGAACCACCAATCAGTGAACCACCAATCAGTGAACCACCAATCAGTGAACCACCAATTATAAACTTGACTTCCACTATAAAAGTACACAGAGAATTAGCCACAACCTATTGTATCACACATAAAAAAAAAAACTAAAAAAGGAAATCCTACCTATTTCAACATGAAATACATTTTCTCCAGCACCACCCCAACATGTGAAAATTGTGAGTTTCTATGGCCGTGTCCGAGAGCATCAAATCCTTGATGCATTGTGGGTAAATGGTGACTGACTGACTGCTCTACAAGTAATAAAGAGTTGTTGTTTATGATGCAAGGTGATTTGCATATCAGTCAAACAAGCCCTATGTTGTGAAGTAAAAAAGGTACCAGTATTTCTGATGACATCATATGGTATGCGTCATGAGATTTGAACCAACTATAAGCAGGCAAAGGCTAGTATAGTAAACTAGACACAAACACTACCCCAGGGTAAGGGAAGAAGATGGGGTCAAATAGTTTTGCTAATGGAATTAGACAAAAATGTGGTGCGTCTGTCCAGAATACTGACTCCAGCTAACCCATGACATGACGGAATTTAATCGGAAGAAAAAGCTCCCAGTGTTTACACACCGTGGCAATCTAATGATCTGAGGATATTAGGTTAGGGTGGGTGGGTGGGTGGGTGTTCTGTTTTCACGTCAGATAAAATGAGACTTAACACAGAGAGACGTCCTCTTTGCAGCGAATAGGCAACTGTGAACAACATTGGTCCTTGAGAACTACAGTGTGCCCTGTGAATCATGTCAGCTCTAGTTAATGCATTCACCTGACTGAATACACCCCTGAGTCGTATTCACTGGACAACAAACAGAAGGAAGCACACCGAAACAGTAAAGGACTGCCAGAACTTCTCCAATAACAAACGCTTGTTTTCATTTTCCTACGATGTGCACTAATTAGTACAATCCTGGAGTAGGGGGAGGGGGGAGAGGGAGTGTTACCTTGTGGATCTCCTCCTTCTCCTGTCTCAGGGCTTTGACCTGCTTGTCCAGGGCCTTCAGCTTGGAGGAGGAGCTCTCGTAGTCCTGCCGCAGTGTCACCGCCTCCTCCAGCTGGTGCTCCAGCCTATCAGAGTCTGAGAAAGGGAGGGACTTCCTGGTTAGCGGGACGGTGATATGTACTTGTGCTGCGCTAGAACAGACCCAAAAGTACAAACTATGTGTTCGACCCAGGCCTGGTTTAAATGATCTGTGTGTTTGACTCAGGCCTGGTTTAAATGATCTGTGTGTCCGACTCAGGCCTGGTTTAAATGATCTGTGTGTCCGACTCAGGCCTGGTTTAAATGATCTGTGTGTCCGACTCAGGCCTGGTTTAAATGATCTGTGTGTTTGACTCAGGCCTGGTTTAAATGATCTGTGTGTCCGACTCAGGCCTGGTTTAAATTATCTGTGTGTTTGACTCAGGCCTGGTTTAAATGCACAGACAGTATTTGACCTGTGTGTACGACCCAGGCCTGGTTTAAATGCCCAGACAGTGTTGGGTTGCCAGATGAGCTTTGCGTTGTCAGATTGGGTTGCACAGAGAGCACTGACCTGCCAGTTTCTTCTTGAGCCGGTCGATCTCCTCGTTGAGCTTCTTCATCTCCTTGTCTCGGCCCAGGGTGCTGGCCCCGCGGCCCGGCCCGTGGAGAGACTGCACCGCTTGGGTGGACTCTGGAGGGGCAACACACAGGTTAAGGGTCAGAGGTCATGTCCACATTTACGCTCAGGGTCATACAGGGTGTTTCTGTGTGTCTCCCTTTGTGCTCTACCGCCCCCTAGCTCACCCTGCAGCTTGCGGTTCAGCTCCTGCTTCTCCTGCTCCAGCCGACGGATCCTCCTCTCGAAGGCCTCCACCTCCAGCCCCCCCTCCTGGTCCGGTGGAACCCCCTCTCCTCCGCCCCCCTCCTGGGAGCTCCCATCGGACAGGCCAGCCCTGTTGACGCTACCGCGGTCCGAGAAGCAGCTGTCCGTGGTGTAGGTGAAGCCTACAAAGGGCAGGTGCTGTCCGGTGAAGCCGCTGTGTGTGACTGGAGGAGCAATGTCCTGTTGGGTGAGAGACACACAGACAGAGAGAGGGTGAGAGAGAGAGAGACACAGAGACAGACAGAGAGACAGAGAGACAGAGAGAGAGAGAGAGAGAGAGAGAGAGAGAGAGAGAGAGAGAGAGAGAGAGAGAGAGAGAGAGAGAGTCAGATTGGTTAGAGTCAAACAGCTAAACAGACCAAGAGAACAGCCAAGTAAAAATTTTTACAACTGTAAACACCAGTTAGCTCTGGGCTCTTCAAAAAATAAAAACAGCAGTATTTTGATTCTCGATGGCTGGAAGTTGAATAGTCAGCATTTGCTAGCTGGTTTCCAGGTAGTGTTGGCAAGCTAGCTAGTTTCTAGATAGCTATCTAGCTGATCGGTTTCTAATTAGTGTTTGCTAGCTAGCTCGTTTCCAGTTAGCGTTAGCGAGCTAGCTCGTTTCCAATTAATGTTAACAAGCTAACTCAAGTCCAGTTAACATTAGCTAGCTAGCTTGTTTTCCCCAATCCACCCACCGGGTTTTTAAGAATATCGTCGTCCACATCAAAGTTGGAGGTGTCAGATGGGGAGCTGACGTCGGGGATGTAGGGCGCCTCAGTGGAGCGGATGTGTTCCCAGTCGATGCCGGCGAAGAAGGGATGGTCCTTGAAGTCGCCGATGCCATTCTGGCCCAGGCGACGCTCGCGGCCGCAGATTAGGCGCGAGATCAGGTCCTTGGCGTCCTCCGACACATCGCAGATGTTTGAGGGGAACTGGAAACGCTCCTGTGAGAGAGTGGGGGAGAGAGGGAGGGAGGAGAGGAAGAGGAGGATGAGAATGTGAATTTAAAAGCTTCTTCATTGGGTCATTAGCATACATTACACAAACATTAAACATCACATTTCCTCCCCAACACACACACCAGCTAAATAATCAGGTGGAGAGAGAGAGAGAGAGAGAGAGAGCGAGAGACGGGGGTAGAGAGAGCGTGAGACGGGGGTGGAGAGAGAGAGGAGAGGGGGGGGGAGAGAGAGAGAAGCGAGAAGGGGGTGGAGAGAGAGAGAGGGAGACGGGGTGGAGAGAGAGGAGGAGACGGGGGTGGAGAGGAGACGGGGGAGGAGCGAAGACGGGGGTGGAGAGAGCGAGACGGGGGTGGAGAGAGCGAGAGACGGGGGGGGAGAGAGACGAGAGACGGGGGTGGAGAGGGAGCGGGAGGGGGACGGAGGGTGGAGAGAGAGCGGGGGAGAAGCGGGGGTGGAGAGAGCAGAGAGACGGGGGTGGAGGAGAGCGGAGAGAGAGAGAGACGGGGGGAGGAAGAGAGAGGAGAGACGGGGGGGGAGAGAGAGAGAGACGGGGGTGAGAGAGAGAGAGACGGGGGTGGAGGAGAGAGGAGAGAGCAGACGGGGGTGGAGAGAGAGAGAGACGGGTGAGAGGAGAGCGGGTGGAGAGAGAGAGAGACGGGGTGAGAGAGAGGAGAGAACGGGGGTGGAGAGAGGAGAGGAGAGAACGGGGTGGAGAGAGAGAGACGGGGTGGAGAGAGAGAGAAAGACGGGGGTGGAGAGAGAGAGAAAGACGGGGGTGGAGAGAGAGAAAGACGGGGGTGGAGAGAGAGAGAGAGACGGGGGTGGAGAGAGAGAGAGAGACGGGGGTTTGAGAGACCGAGACGGGGGTTTGAGAGACCGAGACGGGGGTTTGAGAGACCGAGACTGGGGTTTGAGAGACCGAGACGGGGATTTAAGAGACCGAGACGGGGATTTGAGAGACCGAGACGGGGATTTGAGAGACCGAGACGGGGATTTGAGAGACCGAGACGGGGATTTGAGAGACCGAGACGGGGGTTTGACAGAGAGAAGGGGGGGGGGGGTAAAAGAGCACAGAACAAGGGATAGCTGAGAATGAGACAGAACCAGAGACAGGGAGACCGTGTTAGATAATGCATAACAAGCTCCAGTTTAGATAGTGACAGAGACTTTGATGAAAATAGCTGCTAGAAAGTAGGCTAGTGTTTCAGGAACTGGGCCCTTGAGGGGGGCATTAACCTGGATAGCTTCAGGAAATAATCACACTGTGTAAGTGGCCAACTTGTTAATAACACACACCAGTACCTACACTATCAAACAATCACAAACATTTGGAACAGGCAACACAAGTCTACACGCGTTGTATTCGTCGCATGTGACAAATACAATTTTATTTTATTTGACTGAAGGGCATCAAATCAACAGACTTACAGTGACATATACACTACATATACAAAAGTATGTGGACACCCCTTCAAATTAGCCGATTTGGCTATTTCAGCCACACCCGTTGCTGACAGGTGTATAAAATTGAGCACACAGCCATGCAATCTCCATAGACAAACATTGACAGTAGAATGGTCTTACTGAAGAGCTCAGTGACTTTCAACGTGGCACCGTCATGCCACCTTTCCAACAAGTCAGTTCGTCAAATTTTTGCCCTGCTACAGGTGCCCCGGTCAACTGCAAGTGCTGTTATTGTGAGGTGAAAACATCTAGGAGCAACAATGGCTCAGGTGCGAAGTGGTAGACCACACAAGCTCACAGAACAGGACCGCCAAGTACTGAACCGCGTATTGCGTAAAAATAGTCTGTCCTCGGTTGTAACACTCACTGCCGAGTTCCAAACTGCCTCTGGAAGCAACGTCAGCACAATAACTTTTGATCGGGAGCTTCATGAAATGGGTTTCATGAAATGGCCGAACAGCCGCACGCAAGCACAAGATCACCATACACAATTCCAAACGTCGGTGTAAAGCCAGCCGCCATTGGACTCTGGCGCAGTGGAAACGTTCTCTAGAGTGATGAATTACACTTCACCATCTGGCAGTCAGATGGACGAATCTGGGTTTGGCAGATGCCAGGAGAACGCTATCTGCCCTAAAGTTTGGTGGAGGAGGAATAATGGTCTGGGGCTGTTTTTCATGGTTCGAGCTAGGCCGCTTAGTTTCAGTGAAGGGAAATCTTAATGCTACAGCATACAATGATATTCTAGACGATTCTGTGCTTCAAACTTTGTGGCAACCGTTTGGGGAAGGCCCTTTCCTGTTTCAGCATGACAATGCCCCCATGCACAAAGCGAGGTCCATACAGAAATAGTTTGTCGAGATCGGTGTGGAAGAACTTGACTGCCATGCACAGAATCCTGACCTCAACTCCATCAAACACCTCCGGGATGAATTGGAACACAGACTGCGAGCAAGGCCTTATCGCCCAACATCAGTGCCCAACCTCACGAATGCTCTGGTGGCTGAATGGAAGCAAGACCCCGCAGCAATGTTCCAACATCTAGTGGAAAGCCTTCCCAGAAGAGTGGATGCTGTTATAGCAGTAAATGGGGGACCAACTCCATATTAATGCCCATAATCTTGGAATGAGATGTTCGACGAGCAGGTGTCCACGTACTTTTGGTCATGGAGTGTATCTTGAAGTAAACAATCCAGTAAACATGATCAACTATTTAAACCGATTAATAATCCAAAGGTTTGTTATATTTAATAAGTGTAGCATATACTTAACTGTGAAATACTGTACATTTGAAAGCAAACAATCAATAAATCATTATACAAAATCATTAATTATTAAAATGTTTGGAATATGTAGCACTCATTGCTGGCCCATAGATTTGGTATAGGCTAGCTCTTCTAGTTCTTTTGAGTCTGAAGATTGTTTTCAGTTTGCGGAGCATTTCTTATTTTGGAATGCATAATAGAATATATTAGCAACGACTTGCTTGTTACCAAGGCAGTTTGGATGCTGATGCTAAATCCCCTACATCTACATTGATGCAAGCTAGGCACTAAGGACCCCCTGGCTTTGTTCTGCCTCAGAGATACGCTACATGCTTGCCCCTACACCAGGACCTAAGATCAGATTTCACTACCCATACCTGTGGCTAGTGGCTCTCTCTTCCAAGACATCCTATCCTTGTTTCCTTTCCTTGATGACTACTGTTTTCATGAATGGACGCTAATTTTAAAAATGGTAGACTTTTAAAGACTCCACTTTCCCCTCACCATGTTGTCGCCACAACCTAAAACTTGGCCGCCAGTTTCCTCAGGTTTACCTCGTGGTTCATGATCTTGCCGTAGGTCTCCACCAGTGACTCGGCATAGAAGGGTGTCTCCCCGTAGAGCATCTCGTACATACAGACGCCCAGGGACCACCAGTCACACTCTGGACCGTACTTCCCCATGCCGTCCTCCATGGCCTGCAGGATCTCAGGGGAAATGTAGTCCGGAGTGCCTACAGCCACAGACGACTGGACCTGGAAGAGGAAAGAGGGGGAAGAGTGAGGTTGGAACAAAAAGTCAGAGTAAAGTGAACTCAGAGAAACGTTATTTTACATTGTCCATGTAAAAAAGCCCAACTCCAATCAAATTATATTGTCACATGCTTGGTAAACAACAGGTGTAGACTAACAGTTACTGACGGTCCCTTCCCAACAATGCAGAGAGGGAACAAATTGAAATAGTAGAAAAAAAATAGATTTATTTTTTTGAAAATAATAACACGAGGAATACACAGAACAATAATAACTGTGGCATAAGGTGTTTTCAGAATAAGAGTATTAACTTATTAAAAACAGATTGAGTTTTGCTTTGACCTGGATTCAAATACTTTGAGCCTTTGCTCTAGCCTGTATACAGTGTCAGATGGGCGGGGTTTGCAGTTTTGAGACTATTCTATTGGTCCATTAAGCCAGGCAAGCTCAATCAAGCACAGATAAAGTATTTCAAATAGTATTTGAACCCAGGTCTGGAGATGAGGGATATAGTGAATCTTGCTTTACTCCCCTTAGGCATTCAATCACTTCATCAAATTCTAAAAGTTGGGCTACACATTTGACATCACTTTCAGACCCCTTTCACTAAACCTCAGACGAAAAGTCATTTTCTTTCACACAAACACCTGAGTAGTACAAGGGGCTCTGTGGTAGAATCACCGAGCGACGAAAAATCGGGAGCAAAAAATTAAACCAAAACTTAGCATGAGAGAGCAGAAAATGAGTGGGGCCGTAAAGTTATTCAATAAAACAGTGTGACCCCTCTATTAATTCCTTTACGCCATACTATAAAAACCATTAGGATCTAGGAGAGCCCTTGACTGCATCGCAAATGGCACCCTATTTTCTATACAGTGCACTACTTTTGACCGGAGCCCTATGCGCCCTGGTCAAAAATAGAAAAGTAGTGCACTGAAGTGAACAGGGTGCCATTTGGGATTGCATCCCTTCTTTTCCATTTAACACCAGCTGAATTCTGAAGGGCACTCGGCAATATCACGTCGTCTACTTTCTTTCTCCTTTTCAACTTACAGTAGAGGGGTGCCACGTCCGCTACATTAGCGGTCTCTGTTTTCGTCCTACAAACGTGGCTCTAATCTTTGAACGGTAGGATCTACCTAGCTATTGTGATCCCATTTCTGAAAGGTAAGACTCATGAACACGCACTTTTTTTGGTTTTGTTTCCCTCTGCAATGCTCCCCGGCCACGTAGGAGACGTTACAAGGGACTGTGACAAAACCACAATTGAAAGCAATGCAGATCTTCTCTACACACAAACAATTGTTAGGCCTACCTAATGAGCTTCCCTGATGTTTACCCCAAACTATCCAATACCTTTCTGATGCATTTCAGATACATACTGATACAACCACAAATGTGTACACCTTTCACATAGGCTATTCAAGTCATTTGACATCTTATCTTAATAGCCTTATGAATATAGAAACTTTGTGCAGTTTGTGCAACAACTAGCTGGAAAAAAGCCATTACATCGTTTCTATAACAATATAAAGTGCCATCAGAAAGCCCTCATACCCCTTGATTCCACATTTTGTTGTGTTACAACCTGAATGAAAAATTGATTAAATATTTTGTTCACCCATCTATACACAATACCCCATAATGACAAAGTGAAAACATATCTTTAGACATTTTTGCAAATGTATTGAAAATGAAATACAGAAATATCTCATGTTAGAATAACATTTGGCAGCAATTACAGCTGAGAGTCTTTCTGGGTAAGTCTCTAAGAGCTTTCCATACCTGGATTGTGCAACATTTGCCTATTATTCATGGCTCACATCAACACCATCATCCCAGAAACCCTAGACCCACTCCAATTCGCAAACCGCCCCAACAGATCCACAGATGACGCAATCTCAATCGCACTCCACACTGCCCTTTCCCACCTGGACAAAAGGAACACCTATGTGAGAATGCTGTTCATTGACTACAGCTCAGCATTCAACACCATAGTGCCCTCAAAGCTCATCACTAAGCTAAGGACCCTGGGACTAAACACCTCCCTCTGCAACTGGATCCTGGACTTCCTGACGGGCCGCCCCCAGGTGGTAAGGGTAGGCAACAACACATCCGCCACACTGATCCTCAACAAGGGGGCGCCTGAGGGGTGCGTGCTTAGTCCCCTCCTGTACTCCCTGTTCACCCACGACTGCGTGGCCAAGCACGACTCCAACACCATCATTAAGTTTGCTGACGACACAATGGTGGTAGGCCTGATCACCGACAACGATGAGACAGCCTATAGGGAGGTCAGAGACCTGGCAGTGTGGTGCCAGGACAACAACCTCCCTCACCGTGAGCATGACAAAGTAGATGATCGTGGACTATAGGAAAAGGAGAGCCGAACACGCCCCCATTCACATCGATGGGGCTGTAGTTGAGCGGGTCGAGAGTTTCAAGTTCCTTGGTGTCCACATCACCAACAAACTACCATGGTCCAAACACACCAAGAAAGTCAAAGAGGACGACACTACAACACCTTTCCCCCTCAGGAGACTGAAAAGATTTGGCATGGGTCCCCAGATCGTCAAAAAGTTCTACAGCTGCACCACCGAGAGCATCCTGCCTGGTTGCATCACCGCCTGGTATGGCAACTGCTCTGTAGCCGACCATAAGGCGCTACAGAGTAGTGCGTACGGCCCAGTACATACCTGGGGCCAAGCTTCCTGCCATCCAGGACCTATATATAGGCGGTGTCAGAGGAAGGCCCAAAAACAGTTGGTAGAGCATGGCGTTTGCAACGCCAGGGTTGTGGGTTCGATTCCCACAGGGGGCCAGTATGGAGAATTTTTTGGGGACTAAAATGTAAAAATGTAATGGTCCTTAGCAGTTTTACTTTAGTGCCTTTTTGCAAACAGGATGCATTTTTTTGGAAGATTTTAATTCTGTACAAGCTTCCTTCTTTTTACTCTGTCATTTGTGGAGTAACTACGATGTTGTTGATCCATCCTCAATTTTCTCCTATCACAGCCATTAAACTCTGTAAATGTTTTAAAGTCACCATTGGCCTCATGGTGAAATCCCTGAGAGGTTTCCTTCCTCTCTGGCAACCGAGTTAGGAAGGACGCCTATGTCATTGTAGTAACTGGGTATTGATACACCATCCAAAGTGTAATTAATAACTTCACCATGCTCAAAGGGATATTTAATGTTTGCCTCTTTTGTTTTTGACCCATCTACCAATAGGTGCCCTTCTTTGCGAGGCAACGGAAAACCTCCTGGTCTGTGGTTGAATCTAAGTTTGAAATTCACTAGTCAACTGAGGGACCTTACAGATAACTGCATGTGTGGGGTACAGAGATGAGGTAGTCATTCACAAACCATGTTAAACACTATTATTACACACAGAGTGAGTCCATGAAACTTATGTGACTTGTTAAGCAACTTTTTACTCCTGAACTTATTAGGCTTGCCATAACAAAGGGTTATTTCTAAATAATTCTAAAAACACTATTCCACTGACATTATGGGGTATTGTGTGTAGGCCAGTGACACAAAATCGCAATATAATCCATTTTAAATTCAGGCTGTAAAAACAATATGTGGAAAAAGTCAAGGGGTATGAATACTTTCTGAAGGCACTGTGGCTAAAACCACTATTGGCTAAACAGGACAAATAAGTGATTAGATATAGGCTAGAAACATGTTAATTGACTTGTTATTGAAATTATTCACTTGTACATGCTGATAGATTATTACAAATATTATTGTAATAGTAAGCCTACCTACACAATAACCTCATATTCCATGGGGTCACTGACCACAATCCATTTAATTAATAACAAGAAGTGTTGATTGTTTGGCCTTAGGGAGAGCACTGTGCATGGGGAAAACAAATAGCCGCACGAAGGGGTGCTGGAGGTGCTGCAGATCAATTTAAATACATTTGCAAAATGTATATAATGACTCCGGTCTGTAGATAAATACATTAAATTATTGAAATAGACCAGGAATAATGGAGGACCAATAGCTTATTTATTTATTTTTGCAGTGGGTTGTGTTTTATCACATCACGACTGCATGTAGGCCTACAGTCGAGAAGCCAATTGGGCAGCAGGCCTGGTAAATAACAAACACCTGATTGTTGAGTTGTGGCTGTCAGTGAACAGCAGGCAGCAGCTATAAGGCCTTTCGTAATATTTCAAAATACAATTGCCGGAAAAAACGGTTTGAAAAGCAAATGGCTACTCTAATGTCTGTGTCAGTGTAGCCTGTAATTTTGGTAATTTGTGTGGTATTCAAAAATAATATCATTTAGAATAAAATAATTTAGAAAATGACATTTTTCCCCAGACCCACAAATAAGATGATAGATGCATGCAATGCTTTATTATACAGGTGATAAAAATGTGTGATGTGTGTGTGTGTGTGTGTGTGTGTGTGTGTGTGTGTGTGTGGGTTGCTCACCGTGCCGTCCTGCATCATTTTCAGGCAGGAGCCAAAGTCGGCCAGACGGATATGACCCTTCATGTCTAACAGGACATTGTCTGGCTTGATATCCCTGGAGGGAGAGAGAGTGACAGAGAGAGAGACAGAGAGAGAGACAGAGAGAGACAGACAGAGAGAGAGACAGACAGACAGAGAGAGAGACAGACAGACAGAGAGAGAGACAGACAGACAGAGAGAGAGACAGACAGACAGAGAGAGAGACAGACAGACAGAGAGAGACAGACAGACAGAGAGAGACAGACAGACAGAGAGAGACAGACAGACAGAGAGACAGACAGACAGAGACAGACAGACAGAGACAGACAGACAGACAGACAGAGACAGACAGAGACAGACAGAGACAGACAGAGACAGACAGACAGACAGACAGACAGAGACAGACAGACAGACAGAGACAGACAGAGACAGACAGACAGACAGACAGACAGACAGACAGACAGACAGACAGACAGACAGACAGACAGACAGACAGACAGACAGACAGAGACAGAGAGAGAGAGAGAGAGAGAGAGAGAGAGAGAGAGAGAGAGAGAGAGAGAGAGAGAAATAAATAAATAAATGGTTAGGATAAGGGAAGTGCATAAAACCAACCTCTCCACCAATATAAAGCCCTGTTTACCACTATGTGACATTGTAATGGATTCACTCTAAGGTGCTCTTTAAGACAATGTAAAGTTAGATAAAAACACACAGCCCTCCGCTCCCTTCCACTCAACATTTCTCTCCCGGGTGGTTCTCTGAGCTGAACAGCTTGGCATTGTTCATCCACCCTCCCTCCCTCTGTCCCGATCCCCCTCTCCTCACGCTCCCTGGCTCGACGCAGGCCACACACTGTACCCTCTGTTGTACTAACCCTGGCACCACGCTGGGCACAGCGGGAACGGCATAAACACAAACACACCCACCCCAACGCCAAGTAACAGGCCACACACACACACGTGTGCAACAGTGTCATTTACATCAAAAACACACACAGAACGTTTCATTCATACATCTCTCTCTCACACACACACCCCTTTGTTTATACATCTCTCTTTACACACACACACACACACACACATTCGCTCTCTCTTTTTCTCGCACAAACCAAAGCATAAATTCTCTAATTTAATCTACCATGGCTTCTCTAATTTCATCTACCAATCTACCATGGCTCCCCTAATTTAATCTACCAATCTACCATGGCTCCCCTAATTTAATCTACCAATCTACCATGGTTCCCCTAATTTCATCTACCATGGCTCCCCTAATTTCATCTACCAATCTACCATGGCTCCCCTAATTTCATCTACCAATCTACCATGGCTCCCCTAATTTCATCTACCAATCTACCATGGCTTCTCTAATTTCATCTACAAATTACCATGGCCTCTCTAATTTAATCTACCAATCTACCATGGCTTCTCTAATTTAATCTACCAATCTACCATGGCTTCTCTAATTTCATCTACCAATCTACCATGGCTCTCTAATTTAATCTACCAATCTACCATGGCTCCCCTAATTTAATCTACCAATCTACCATGGCTCCCCTAATTTAATCTACCAATCTACCATGGCTCCCCTAATTTAATCTACTAATCTACCATGGCTCCCCTAATTTAATCTACCAATCTACCATGGCTCCCTAATTTAATCTACTAATCTACCATGGCTCCCCTAATTTAATCTACCAATCTACCATGGCTCCCTAATTTAATCTACCAATTACCATGGCTCCCCTAATTTAATCTACCAATCTACCATGGCCAATTTAATCTACCAATCTACCATGGTTCCTAATTTAATATACCAATCTACATGGTCCCTAATTTAATCTACCAATCTACCATGGCTCCCCTAATTTAATCTACCATCGCCATGGCTCTCCTAATTTAATTACCAATTACCATGGCTCCCCTAATTTAATCTACCAATCTACCATGGCTCCCCTAATTTAATCTACTAATCTACCATGGCTCCCCTAATTTATCTACCAATCTACCATGGCTCCCCTAATTTAATCTACCAATCTACCATGGATCCCCTAATTTAATCTACCAATCTACCATGGCTACCCTAATTTAATCTACCAATCTACCATGGCTCCCTACTTTAATCTACCAATCTACCTGGCTCTCCTAATTTAATTACAATACCCATGGATCCCTAATTTAATCTACCAACTACCATGGCTCCCCTAATTTAATCTACCAATATACCATGGCTCCCCTAATTTAATCTACCAATCCACCATGGCTCCCCTAATTTTAGACTAGAATTCTCATCCATCCTTCCTTCCTTCATTCATTCCTTCCTTCCTTGATGAATTCACTGCTCTGCTATTTGTGAGACCGCAATAGGATGGCAACCATCCCGACATATACAGATCAGTGTTGACTTCAAGGAAGGAAGGAAGGAAAGATAGAAAACGGTATAAAAAATATTGGAACAGGGCCCGCAAGGCTGTTTTGTTATATAGACTTGTCTCTCTGTGTTTTGTTAGGCACTGGGCTTGAGTACAACCAGACTATAAACACTGTCAGTGTGTGTGTGTGTGTGTGTGTGTGTGTGTGTGTGTGTGTGTGTGTATCAGAATGTGTGTGTCTCAGAAAGTAGGTTTCCCGACTTTTTCGTTCTGTTGCTCCCTCTCTCTCTCGCTCTCTTGTTCACACTCCATCTCTCTCCCGCTCTCATCAATTCCCTTCTATCCCACCCTCCGTCTCCATCTCGGTTGATTAATCTAGTCTCTCTCCCTCAGTCTTCCCCCCTATTTCGCTACAGTACATCTCAGACGGCCCTGTACAGTACATCTCAGACGGCCCTGTACAGTACATCTCAGACGGCCGGCCCTGTACAGTACATCTCAGACGGCCCTCCCTGTACAGTACATCTCAGACGGACCTCCCTGTACAGTACATCTCAGATGGCCATCCCTGTACAGTACATCTCAGACGGCCATCCCTGTACAGTAAATCTCAGACGGCCCTCCCTGTACAGTACATCTCAGACGGCCCTCCCTGTACAGTACATCTCAGACGGCCCTCCCTGTACAGTACATCTCAGACAGCCCTCCCTGTACAGTACATCTCAGACGGCCCTCCCTGTACAGTACATCTCAGACGGCCCTGTTCCATTGCGGCCCCTAGCCCCTTCTGCTAGCTCCTCCACCCCTCCGGTGTTCCCAAATCTGAAAGGATGCCATAGGGTAGGGCGTTCACTCACTGTGTACAATGTTGAGAAAAACGGGGCAATTCAAGAGGGTGCTACGAAATTAATGTCAAAACGTAGTTCTTTGCCCTATGTCATTATAAATTACATAGAATTAACCATTAGATTGTTCTCTACAATTTTATAACCTTAATATACTTGTACTTGACAGTGTTGATGAAATAAGAACGTTAATTTGCTGTGACTGTTGCTAGCTTAGTCTTTCGCCACATTGTTGGCAATTACACCTGATCCATCCCATTCAGACGGGGTAGGCACTAAGGGAAAGGGACTAGAGGTCAAAATGGTACCAGACTCTTCCTCTCTCTGGCTGCGGTCCAATTCTCTCCCTGTTCATTCCTCCTCACGGATTCCAAAGCATTAGATTGCTGTAAGCATGGGGCTTACAGGGAGTGTTCACCACATTCATCAAATAAGTCCTTCCTTTCCCTATTAAATCCATGAGGGGGAGTGAACAAGTGCACCCTTCAGGGAGAAGGGTACTAGAGAATGGGAGGGCAGGAAGGAAGCAGCAGGACATGGCAGGATTGCTGGCCAGGACTCCGTTTCCCAGGGGGCATTGCTGTCAGGAAGAGGCCCCTCCATAACCCACATCCACACAAGGCTGGCTGGCCGGACATCTGGGTACAGGGTCAGTCACGCGGGGAGAGACTCCCTAACACACATGCGTCAAACCTGCCAACCTCGAATCAGTTTTACGAGTACCACATCAGCACGGTGGCAGTACCCATGGTGCCCATGACAGCGGGCATGCGACACCCACACTGTTCAAATCATAGGCAAATGCACCTTCTTTTTTTTTTGGCCTAATAATAATGTTGGCAGAAGACTGCCTCAGTAGGAATGGTAGGCTATAGATTTATGGACACTTGGTAATTGGCTGCTCTTCAGTAGCTAACTAGAAATACATTTACACTGAACAAAAATAGCATAATCTCAGCCACATCGCTCTCCCTCTCCCTCTCCCCCTCTCTCCCCCTCCCTCACACCGATGCGAGACATTACTGACACACCCTTACCTGTGGACGTAGTGTTGTTGGTGTATAGAGTGGATGGCCAGCACCATCTCGGCCACATAGAACTTGGACATGTCCTCTGGGAGACGGTCCTCGAATTTACTGAGCAGGGTCAAGAGGTCACCGCCCACATAGTAGTCCATCACCAGGTACTGCGGAGATGAGACAGGACATGGGTTGTACTGTGTACGTGCACACACAGAGTATACACTAGTGTGTGTGTGTGTGTGTGTGTGTGTGTGTGAAGCTGTTACCAGGAAGTTGTCGTCCTGGAAGGCATAGTGGAGGGTGGTGATCCACTGGCAGTCTCCGTTCACCAGAACATTCCTCTCCTCGCGGAAACACGCCGTCTGAAGGGGGGAAACAATGGTATCGAGGGGTCAACTATGACATACACACAGAAAGGCTACAACCTCAACTCTCTCTCTCAGGGATGAGGATTAACACAGCATTGGAAAACAGTCAAATCAACTTTAAAAAAAGGTCCATTTCATTCAGGTCAGATTGAACTTGGAATTCTTGATAAATCACCAAAAACCACATCTTTGACCCTCCTCCTCTCAGTCTACTATGTTTCCCGTACCCTCCATCTCACTCCAGTAGTCTTTCACTGGCATACAAACGATCATTCATAGACCCCCCCCCCCCCCCCCACTCGCTGGCTCTCACTCACGCTCCCTATTAGATGACGAGACTGATGTCATGGGGGAAAACTGGACTAGCGGTATGTTTCTCTTTACTACACCCTCCTGATTTCAGGAATCCTCCAACCAGTGTTTCTGAAAAACCTGGGAACATTGGGAAAGCTTCCAGAAATGTTGCAGCCCTGCTTGTGTGTGCAAACTCTGAAACGTAGGAACGTGTCAAAAATACACTCAGCATTTATAATTCCCTACTCTGTAAATGTAGTCCATATTATCAAACTAGTTCACTAATCGTTCACGCTAAATGCCAAAATCATAAAGCTAAAGTTGTAGCAAACTTTATAATTTTTTTAACGGGAAGGTACTACCTAAACTAAGAACTCAATGGCCTTGTGGTTTGAGCGTGGAAGGTTGGGAGTTTGATCACCGGCCGAGTCATACCAAAGACTGTAAAAAAAATGGCACCCGACGCATCTCTGCTTGGCACTCAGCGTTAAGGAGATAGATTGGGGGTAAGGCCCTGAGATAGACTAGTGTCCTGTCCAGGGGGTGTACTTGTACATCAAGCTGCCTCACGCTACAGAAACAGGAGCCATTCCGGCTCGCACAAGCCAATGATCGCACAAGGCTTCTTACTTTACTACCTGAACTTGACCAATAAGAACACAGATTTTAGTTTTCCATTGCAAAACATTTTTGGTACAGTGTGCCATACTGAACACACCCCTGGTGTTTCCACAGCATATAAAACAAAGGAACCAAAGTAGGAAAAGTTATGTTTAATAGCTTTACTTTGTTGTCTTTGATTCCCCTTTGGAAAATAACTTTGAACAGGTGCAGATGCTTACTAAATCTATCCTTAGATTTACAAAAACATAGTAAAAAAAAAACTAAGCAATAACCTATTGGGAAATGGGCACTCTCACACAACTGATTGTAGCGACAGTATTTTACCAGAATGTCCATCTATCTACTCTCTAAATACCAATTTATTTACCTATCCACCTATCTATCCATCTATAAAGACTGAACTTTCCTCCTCCGCTGCTGGTTGGAATGCCATGCTGCAGGCAGTGCTGTATGTACAGCAGAGTCTAGCCTATCTGTCTGTCCGTCTGTCTGTCCGTCTGTCTGTCCGTCTGTCTGTCCGTCTGTCTGTCCATTCCATCTATAAAGACTGAACTTTCCTCCTCCGCTGCTGGTTGGAATGCCCTGCTGCAGTGCTGTATGTACAGCAGAGTCTAGCCTATCTGTCTGTGTCTGTCCGTCTGTCTGTCCGTCCGTCTGTCCATCTATCCATTCCATCTATAAAGACTGAACTTTCCTCCTCCGCTGCTGGTTGGAATGCCATGCTGCAGTGCTGTGCTGTGTTTACAGTAAGAGTCGTAAACCCCGCCCCTCTGTATTGCCCAGGCTGCACACACAGTGAGGGATTGTGGGATGGGGATTACTGACCATTACTGACAAAAAGCTCTGGCGACGCAGCGTGCCGGGCCTCAGGCCACTGTCACGAGCCCATTGGGCTGAAACTAGGTCAAGAGGTAGAGAGCAGCACAGTAAAAAGAAGATGGCCGTCCTGCCCGGCCCTCGGTCAGTCAATCAGTCTCCACTCTCCAGCTAGAATACCGGTGTAAGGTAAACTTCCCCTCCCCCTAATACTAACCTTAACCATTAGTGCGGGAAATGCAAAGCTGATCCAAGATCAGCATCTAGGAGCAAATTCACCCAACACCAGAATACCTCTAGAGGCTGACTAGGACTAGGTTCAGCTCAATTTCCTTTACCACGAGTCTAGGATCAGTTGTTAAGGATCAATGCTAAACCTTAAGCACTTCAGGGATGAAATAATATGTGACCCTGGGTCAGTGGTTAGGGGCACTACAGCCAATCATCTAAGGATAATAGTCTATGTGTGGTAACAGTGAAACCCATTTCCCTTCAAATGGGTGCAACAAAATGAAACTGATTCCCAACAAAGGTCCCAGGTTTTTCAGAAATCCAGGTTGGAGGATTCCCGGAACCAGGAGCAGGAAATAACCAGCGAGGGAAACCTTCTTGGAACCAGGAGCAGGGAATAAATCATCAAACCAGGATTTCTAAAAAAAAACTCTGGAATGTTTCTGGAACTATGCCTACCCAGGGAACTTGGTCTAGGCTGTATTTAGGTACGTAGGAAATCTCCTGATGGATAGGTGATTGTGCATGTCTGGGTGAGCGTGGCTAACAATCATTGTCAACCATGCAAATGAAGCCTTGAGCACTTATTGGCAGCGGGTATGGTTCTTCTCTATGACATAGAAACAGAACGCCCAACACAGAACCTTGACTTGAGCGGGAATGTGTGCTCTAGAACTTCTATTTCTACGTGTCAATGGGAGATTCTACAGTCCAGTATGATCCTTACCTCGGCTCTCTTCAACATCTCCCACTTGTTCAGGATCTTCATTGCGTACACGCGTTCTGTGTTCTTCATCTTCACCACCGCAACCTAGAGGGAGGGAGAGAGATGGAGAAAGGGATAAAGAGAGGGGAGAGAGATGGAGGGGAGAGAGATGGAGGGGGAGAGATGAGACAAGTCATTATTACACAATTAAAATGCAGCGTAATTAAGAGCGTAATTAAGAAAGCTAAGAATTGCGTACTTTTCCTTATTGATGTTTCCAGCCCCCTCCTACTAGCCTAGTTACTGTAAGCCGGCAGTCTCCCCCAGGACCCATTGCTTTCTAATGATAGTGGATATGTCCCAAATGGGACAGAGCTCATTGGGAGGGCCCACCGCCCTATCTGAAAAATGGTAGGGGAAACACCGTAGTACGCTGGCTTGTGATTCTGATCCGTATAATAGTTCTGGGCCTAGACATGTATATGAGAGCTGTCACTGAGCTATGATTATACTGCATTATAAACTAAGGTTTTTAGAAATTGTTTTTAAAACCGTACACATGTACTTAGAGGCCAAATACAGCTAAACCAACAGACACTCCCCAGGACAGGGGTTAGTTAAAGCGATAATCCACCCAAAACCACTCATTCCTATCATTTACTGTTAAATACCACTAATATGTGAGAACAATCGTTTTTGTGAACAAAGGTTTAATTTTGTCGTTATAATACGGTTGGTAGCAACATGGGAAAATCATTGTGGAAATCTGTTGCAGCTCAATTCGACTACAAAACCCACAATGCAATGCTTTCTCAATGGGCTGGCTAGCTAGCTAGCTAACATAGCTACACACAATAATACCCAAGACAATATCAGCACGTGAAGTAGCAGGTTAGCTGTAAAATCGCCTCAACCGACTGCACTATCAATTTAGGAGTCTACAATCTCACCATGTTCAACATGCAGATCGATGTGCCTCGCAAAGAGTGGAGTCTGACATTCGCAACGGCACCATGCAATGTACCCTGGACTGAAGAGGCAGACAAACTACACCATACACATTTCTCGAGGTAGGAATATCGCCAAAAAATATGATGAATGGCTCAATCGAGAGAAGTCAACCTCCAGCGTTATGACATCGGCCAGTATTGAAATCTGACATGATAGACGTTTTCACAATCTAAAAGTCTTATTCCTATTAACTTCCAGTATAGTGAGAGCAATGCTACTTCACATCGGCCGAATTTCTGCCTGCTTGAACGCCAACAACTCAGATACACATGAAATGACCCAGGGAATCGATAGAACATCGCTCAGAGACACTTAAAAATAAATCTAACATTCAAAATGGGTGAATCTTTCCTTTAGATGAGAAAATATTTTCCAGGGCAATTGAGGCACATAACAAGGTAAAGGGTCACGTGTGTGTGTGCGTGTGTGTGTGTGCGTGTGTGTGTGTGTGTGTGTGTGTGTGTGTGTGTGTGTGTGTGTGTGTGTGTGTGTGCTGAACCTTGGCTTACTCCTCGCCACAAGTCCCTAGGTGTGTGTACACCCAAGCCAACTGCCAGAGAGGAGATGCGTCAGAGAGACGCACCTGACTGGACTGGAGGTCTGTATGCCGTCTCAGCAGGCCAGGAGACCAGACAACCACACACACACAGGCAGAAACACACACACACACACACAAAATCACACACTTGGACAGAGAGAGAGAGAGAGACAGACAGACAGACAGACCCCCCCTCCACCACAAACACAGATAAGAATAACACTATATTTCTCACACTAAAAATTGTCAAAGACTCCAGCCACCCTAGTCATAGACTGTTCTCTCTGCTACTGCACGGCAAGCGGTACCGGAGCGCCAAGTCTAGGTCCAAAAGGCTTCTCAACAGCTTCTGCCCCCAAGCCATAAGACTCCTGAACAGCTAATCATGGCTACCCGTACTATTTGCACTGCCCCCCCACCCCATCCCACCCCCCTCTTTTACGCTGCTGCTACTCTGTTTACTATTTATGCATAGTCACTTTAACTCTACCCACATGTACATATGACCTCAATTACCTCTACTAGTGCGGTGCGGTGCCCCCGCACATTGACTCCGTACTGGTACCCCCCTGTATATAGCCTCCCTGCTATTTTATTTTACTGCTGCGCTCGAGCATTTTTTTTTTTTTTTGCATTTTTCTTTTCAAAACTGCATTGTTGATTAAGGGCTTGTAAGTAAGCATTTCACTGTAATGTCTACACCTGTTGTATTCGGCACATGTGGCAAATACAATTTTATTTTATTTGACCTGTGTTCAAATACCATTAGACATATTTTCTAAGATTTTATCTGTGCTTGATTGAGCTTGCCTGGCTTAATGAACAAACAGAAAAGTGGCAAAACTGACCAATTTGGCAGACTCAAAAGATTTCAAATAGTATTTAGACCCAGATCTGTCTCACAATAACAGCAAGATACCACTAAAGACAGGGAAACACAAGCAAAACCACATAGCCAGTAGTCAGTCAATGTAAACAGATCAAAACCACATAGCCAGTAGTCAGTCAATGTAAACAGATCAAAACCACATAGCCAGTAGTCAGTCAATGTAAACAGATCAAAACCACATAGCCAGTAGTCAGTCAATGTAAACAGATCAGATAAGAAGCGGAGAGGAAAGGACAGAAAATACATTCACACAAACATAAACAAACACAGAGTACAATACATACTAACTAGCACACACAAACACACACACACACACACACAATCAGGTTAGGCTACAACACAGGGACATATAGACATCGGTTAGGACTGGTTAGAACACACTGATAAACCACACTAACACTCCTTATCACTCCTCACGACCACACCAGATAACTGACCTCTGACCTAGAAAAACAAACCCAACCTCGATGCTCTGAATCCTTCTCCCCCCCCCCCCCCCCCCCCCCCCCCCCCCCTCCCTCTTGTCCTATTTCCTCCTCTCCTTTTTTAGACACAGATTTAAACGGAGGCAGTCATGCTGACCTGATTCTACAGCAGGAGGGACATGGTGGGAGGCGTGCGGTGGCGAGGGCTCACACACACGTCACTGGTGCACTTTGACATTTTGCTGAGAGCTCGTCAAGCGCACACCCCCACACAGCCACTGTGAACATGGTCACACTTCCAGAGTACATTGTGTATTCAAAGATTCAGGATTTAACTAGAGGGATTTCATATATGGAAGGACATGCATCGCTGCATATCGAGAGAGAGAGAGAAAAGCTGTGTGTGTATTGAGATCAAGGAGTAAGAGACTTGACAAGGGCCCTTCAATACATTCTAATAGAAATTGCACCAAGTCTGCCAATGATTGACTGGGTGGAAGCTGAGGGGAGCGGAGAGCTTCCATTGGGTCTGCTGCCAATGATTGACTGGGTGGAAGGTGAAGGGAGCGGGTGGTCTGCTGCCCGGGTATCTCTCCGTACTTTGCACCGTTCATCTTTCCCTCAATCCTGACTAGTCTCCATCGGGTTCTTGGTCACCTCCCTGACCAAGGCCCTTCTCCCCCGATTGCTCAGTTTGGAAGAGCTCTAGGAAGAGTCTTGGTGGTTCCAAACTTCTTCCATTTAAGAATGATAGAGGCCACTGTGTTCTTGGGGACCTTCAATGCTGCAGAATTTTTTTGGTACCCTTCAGCAGATCTGTGCCTCGACACAATCCTGTCTCGGAGCTCTACGGACAATTCCTTCGACCTCATGGCTTGGTTTTTGCTCTGACATGCACTGTCAACTGTGGGACCTTATATAGAAAGGTGTGTGCCTTTCCAAATCATGTCCAATCAATTGACTTTACCACAGGTAGCCTCCAATCAAGTTGTAGAAACATCTCAAGGATGATCAATGGAAACAGGATGCACCAGAGCTCAATTCCGAGTCTCATAGCAAAGGGTCTGAATATTTATGTAAATAAGGTATCTGTTTTTTATTTTTTATACATTTTCAAAACCCTGTTTTTCGCTTTATCCTTATGGGGTATTGTGTGTAGATTGATGAGTAAAAAACATAATATAATACATTTTAGAGTAAGGCTGTAACGTAACAAAATGAGGGAAAAGTCAAGGCGTCTGAATACTTTCCGAATGCACTGTATGTTTGACAAAATGGCTACAAAATGGGATATAGTCTAGGGCCTATTCATGGATTATTTTGATGACAAGCTGCAGTGAATAAGGAAAGAAGTGGTAGATAATGATAGATAATGATCATAATGATGTCTTACGTCAGATATGGCTTTGAGATACGGAGCGATAGACCGCTCAAAACTTTTGGGAAGGTTTCAACCAATTCGCAAGTGTTTTGTTTCATTCTGTTCCAACTGTAATGTTGTGTTTGCCGCAATACAATATCTTGCTCGTATCTTCCCTATAAACGATGGCTTGACTTACTTTTGATATTACACTAATAAAGATGAGAAACTTTTGTGAAGGTTTAGTGTGGTGTGGCTATTAACCTATTATACTGTAAGCCTATGCACCGGCCGTCCAACTGACTCCGACAGTTGAACTTGAGGTGAGGAACAATGTTTAGGCTTATCAGAGTTACTCCAATGATATCTAACAATATAATGCTTCTCTTTATAAAACATATTTGAATTTAAAATTAAGAAATTAGCCTCTTTATGTATGTCTATATATTTACATTTTTACATTTTAGTCATTTAGCAGACACTCTTATCCAGAGCGACTTACAGTTAGTGAGTGCATACATTTTTCATACTGGCCCCCCCGTGGGAATCGAACCCACAACCCTGGCGTTGCAAGCGCTATTGCTCTACCAACTGAGCTACAGGAGGGACTATATCTGTATAGCAGAAGCCTATCTAACAAGTACAAAGAAATGAATGTCGGTGTCGTAGCAAAATATTACTATAATACAGTGGACGTCTAAGCCAACAGGCCTATGCATGCAATGCCCTGATGCATTTAGTGCTCAACTCTCCGACAGCTGAATCGTGAGGTGGTCAATTGTTTTAGGAAAGTAAAAAAGGTACAAATAATATATATATAATACAATAGGCTATAAAGTTTAGCATATGCTACAGATCAAAACACAAGGAATAGTGTTTTTG